CTCCAAATAACAGATTAGTCATTGCAATTACGGATGCAAGAAAATAGCCGGAATAATAATTACTAGTCCACAGGCAAGATGATCGGTGGATCTAATGCAGGCAGGGGTTTGACTGACTCGTTAGTCGAGGAAGGATGATCACCAGATCCAATCTGGATGTGTCTTTAAAGATCCTATTATTCCATGTCGAAACTTCTGAATGGGATTACTTCGCGGCCTTGTTCGGGTGTGCATCCCGCGGCTTGTGCATGCCTAGCCCACGTTGAGATGCTTGACTAGGGCAGGATACGTTACAACGGTACTGTAGCACATTAATGTATAATAAGCGTTGATATAGGTCTGGATGTCGAGGGTGAAGGTCTGCGTCTTGAACGGCCACGCCGAATATACTTAAAGGAGCGTAATGCACCACAACGCCGCCGTCGTGACATGAAGAGAAAAGCAAGTCGAGAGTTGCGCGAATCCAGAAGAGACAGAATTGAATGCTGAACTAGCTAGGCTCCTGCTCTTAAACATAAGACATTCACACCCTCGTGGGCTAGACGCTCTGATATCTGATTCAATAGAGAAATCATTGCGGCATTTGCGCGTCGAGTTATAAAGCTTCTCACTGTTGGCAAAGGATAGTTCTCTCGGATTGTTTATTTGGTACAGCAACTCGAAGCGCCTCGGCTCACCCTATAACCTGGAATTCATTGCTGAGTGAGGTCTGAGCTCGATCCTCCTCGAGCGGTGATTATCGACTTCGAGATGAGGGCAGAAACATTGAAGCGGCCCCATAGTGAGGGAATACGAGTAACTGTATCCGCGTTAAAGCTACAGGTGTAGCCATATGGACGAATAAGATACTCGAAAGTGCCGTTGACTTGTCGGAAAGTACTTGTGTACATCCTTCGGCTGACCGGCCACGGCAGATTTGGAGCGTCGTAACTTTAAAGATACTTCGTAACCAACAAGCCAGATTTTTCGGATGATCGCTGTCCCCTGTTGGCCATTATTCTCTCCTTGCATTGATCCTGGGTGAACATCATATATCTAATATATGCAGATAATATGTATCCTGCCTGGAGTCTCCTGGTACTTGTTGTGCTACCACATTGTAGACCATGTAGAATTTGACTCGCGTGCTCTGCGCGTGTCATACAGAAATATAGTACTTATTTGAATCAAAAGCGAAAGATTGATAGCGGCCTTGTTGAAACGTGGAGTCTGAACGTCTGCCGTTCGTGGCGTACGGGAAAATCTATTCCGTCCAGCCAAAGGGAGCTCCGTGCAGGCCTGGGGTTACGGGGCATGGCTTCCTCTTACGGGCGCGTGCATCATGAAATTGCGTGGAGGTGCTCCTAGGTTTTGTAACCCCTTTGAACTTGGCCATCGTTCAATACGGAGTAAGCAAATGTCCAAGTCTGATGCGGCTGCATGCAAAGGAAGCAGTGATATCTTCGTAAGAACAATCACATAGAAGAAGCCATGGCGACGGATGTGCCGTCCTGGGGAAGCTTTAGGATTAGGAAACCCATGTGGCTATCAAGCTTATTCCTTGTGTTGTGAACCTAAAAAGCTGTTACGGGGTAGGGGTGTCGAAGGGCTGGGATCTAAGGAACTCCCTGTAGGTTTAGACCAACCGCTGTCAAGCGATCTGATTTTCCGCGCCGATGACGACGAACATCGTAAATATCGTACGTTTATATCTCAGCTGGTAATAATAGCCACCCAATAATAATGAGTATATTCAAACCAGATTTATGGAGTATACGAAGAACATCATACTAGCAGACAGATTTGACCCAAAAAGGAATACCTGTTCTCACTAGACCTACCCGTACTCTCACTGGTACTGGAGTATAATCTTGAGGTATTTTCTCTTGATACCTGTAATTTTGGTGGTGTCAGTACAGCTTAAGACCATTATTGTATTGAATCGTGGGTTGAGCATAGACGTGGACGAAAATGCCAAGCACCCCACTAATAATACCACACACATGAGGCTTTGGGATGGCTGGGATGTATCGACACTTGCAGCAGAATCATCTCCGAACAATCCACGAGGCGACAAATCCCATCACACTGCATTGCGGCGACATGTGTGCCATTTTCAATGCAAGCCGGGCTCGGTGGAGAGTGGGGTGGAACTCCGTAATAGGGGTTCAGAACTTCAGACAAGCAGGACGCAGGAACTTACCGTAGAGAGTTGTCGTTCCACCATGGCCTCAATAAAGAGCGCGTTGGGCTATGTCTTGTCACAGCCGCCGTTGCCTTTCTTCTGTTCACAACATCGAAAGCCCCAAAGCTGCGGGAAAATCATGCAAATTTGGGCACGACGCGCGCCTCAAGCGAGAAAGGCTTTGCCAAAGACGGAGCGCAAATTGACTGCAAAATGGGACGGCATCCTAAGATACCGGCAGCTTTCCGAAATTTAATCTGCGATGATCGATCTTTGTGGATATAAATATTCCTATAGCGCTGTTCTTATTGGCTGGGAGCCAGAACGCATTAGGACTTGAGCAGATCAATGTTGCATCTTGCCTGAAAGTCGAGTTTCAAAGCCGACCAGACTAGAATTGATAACGTGAAATTTGAGCCTCTTGTTGAAGAGGTCAATGCAGAAAAGTAGCATTGTATCGCCTCTCTTGCAAGCTGCACTATGGCAAAAGCGTTAACAGTGAAGATACGCCGTAAAACCGTATAGAGCAGCAAAGGAGCGCTACCGGTTTGCGTCCACCCACCCACCATGGCAAGGCTTGCAGCCATTATTGAGTACCGGTAGAATTGTAGCGTGTGTAACTTTAAGCTAGCTTCGAGAATCATCTTCACATCTGTTCAAGTTCTGAGTGGCTACCAGTCAGGGAGGTCGCAGAAAGCCATGCCATGTTCCGTTGCACCTGTCAGTGACTGATCTGCATTACCCGAGCATCAAGGATCAACATGGCGCTTTTTAGCGCACCGACAAAACCTTTAAAGGGCATGGGTGTCATGGATCCCCGACGTGGTGGGCTGTAACAGGGGCATCCGACTCGACTCGACACCTTATGCTGGCCTAGGATGTGCTCAGGGATCTGTAACCGACCTGTTGCCTGGTAATATGACGGGAAGTGGACGACTGGAACAGTGAAAAATGCATGAATGCCTGGCGACAAAGTTTATCGAGTCTACGACGATGGTCGTACGAGTACGAGCGAGAAGCGGCATCATGAGACTACTGAGATCTATACCCGCTTGGCTTGCAGACTTGAATAGTTCATCGCGATGTTTCTTCATTGTCAAAACCACTAATGGAGACAATATATTGGGCTTGAAAATAGAAGCTGCGAACCGAACCAGAGGTCTCTCTCCCGAATCCCCAAGGTTCCATGGCAACTTCCCGCGCCCTTGCGCCGGGAAGATCCAACGGTGGCAAACGTGGCTGACAGCTGGATCAGCAGCAAGAAAAAGTGGATAGCCGCGCCGACTTGCACTGTTCCAGGGTTCTAGAGTAACTCTAGGCACATGTCTAATTCCGACGGCTTTTTGCAGCCAGTTATCGTAAGCCAGATTTATACTTGGACCACTAGAAAGAACTAAGATCTACATCGCTTAAGTCCTCCACGGTTGGTCTTGCCTGTCGAGTTCTTCACCTGAGTATACGAAGTAGTACCGTAGCGTATTAGAGTAGGGAGGACAAGTAGTAAAAGAGGAAGCTGCTACCTCCCTCTTGTACACAGGTGTGTACTCGTTCCTGCTTCATCCCGAAATGCAGTGCAGTTGACCATTTGAATACTACATCAACTGTGACCGACCGACCACGCCTGGTTTCTGTCAAAGATTCTGACGATACTCTGCATCGTGCACCACCGCCAAGGCGTACAGTAACACCACCGAAATACCCTGCAGCTTATCGTTCAAACCCTGATATACCACGGGCCTTTCACCGTTTAAGCGAGCACCCTGCAGACGCCAAAGTGGCGATCGCTGGTCTAGGGCCGACAGGGTGGGATTGTAAATTTACAGGATTTACAAACCGGCCGCCTTTCCAGAAATTCGTCCAATATAGCCCAAACAGCTATTTTATCCTTATAAGAGCCTCTTCGCAGATGAACTACACTTTTTCTGATCGAGATGCGTGAAACAAGATAGTTATTCGAAAGAGGCCTCGAAGACTAATGTCCAGGGATGAACTATCCCACATGTAGAAGTCATATTCAAAAGAAGTCCGCGCATTGAACCAAAGTCAACATCATTTTCCCATTTGCCGGCAGGGGCCAAGCTGCTGCAAGCACCAAGAACATCTGAGGTTTGCAGACTTCCGTCACCCTCGTCTCATGTGGCCCCTGGCTGGTGGTCAAGATCCTGGCCAAAACATCTCGAGGGGTTCGGCAGGGAGGCCCTGCAAAATCTGAGATAGCTTACGCCTTGAACGGGTTATACTCCGAGGCACGTCTGCATTGAAGCAGCACTACAAACAAACCCTAGCCGACCGAGACGTGCTCATTGTTTTGGGGGTATCCACGACGGGGGCTTTTCAACGGTCCGCATCTACATCCCTGGGCGCTTCCCCGGGCATCTGGAAAATCATCACTTTGGACCACCAGATCAAGCACAAAGTACCGGACGAGACTAGCTATTATTAAGCCCCATACCGTACTGCTCCTGATCAACCCGCCCACTTCTTCCTCGGGGCATCTGAAGTCACAGTCCTAGTCCCGACCCACACCAATTTCTGAGACCATTATTATTCCTTTGATACCTGCCGGGATCTGGGTGGTGGATTCACTTGATCGCCGCCCACACATTGAACTCGGGAGATCTGATAAATATCATCGATCCCTCACACACCTCTGAAGCCTTGCATTCGCAGGCGTATTCAACAACACCACGGTTATTTATCTTCAAGAACCTTAGGAAACATAAGACAACTCCAAACTTAATACTTAATCGTAGCATCGTCAACCAGCCATTCCTTCTCATCCGCTTCAGTCAACTCGAACGTCCTACGTGAACCACCTAGAACTTGGATCCGGGCCATGAACCTCTCCAGTCTTGTTCACGCCGGTAGATATCAAGCAGGACAACACTTTCACTATTCTTCGCGACCGGAACAAGCGATGGCTTCATCGCTGATAGCAAACCCGTACACTGTTCAGGCAATGCCGCAAAGTCAAGGATACAAATATGTGACTGCACCACAACCACCTCCTTCACCACCCGTGGACGAGACTTCCAAATGCTCCTTGCCATCAATCTCAAGTCTACTTGGACTCACAGAGGGCCAAAGCCCACAAGAGCAAGCGCCACAAGCACAAGCACAAGTACAAGTACAAACACAAACACAGCAACAACCTCAACCTCAACCTTCTCAGCAACCAAGTGAGTACCTTTGAGGACAATTTAGAGATCAATATAGACTGACCGCTACAGCATCGCAAACTGTCAGTGAATATCGACCCGGGTCGAGTCATCAACACTATGGACCATCTCCAGCCATGAGCACGCGGGGCATCCTTCCGCCCACCCCGCCAATGCAGTCTGAAGCCGGCTTTGACGGGCGTCAATCACCTTCAAACGGGTCGACTTCAGGATACTCGGTAGCATCTGCACCGGGTTACTACTTCACCCCGCCATCAGTATCAGTATCGGCCATTAACAACGTCGAGCCGCACGCTCAACGGCAACACGTTCAAACCATGCCCCAGCGAAGGGTTTCCATGCCAGCGGCAACTATGGCGTACAGTCAAACACCATTCAATGGCCAATACGCCATGTCCCCTAGTCAGCAATCCATGAGCTCGTACTATTCAAGTCCCATGCAGCCAACACCACCCCAATCGCAAATATCAGGCCTCTACTACCAAAGACCTCTTCCTCAGGTATGGCAGTATTTGAATTGGATAATTGTTCACAACTAACAACTCAATAGCAATTCCCACCACCATTAATGCCCGTTTCAGTGACGCTCACTCCCTCATCAGGAGCAAACCCATGGCAACACCACCACTACATCTCGCCATCCTCTGCAGCATCATTCCCGCAGTCGCAAGACCGCTACATCTGCCAAACCTGCAACAAAGCTTTCTCCAGGCCGTCCAGCTTAAGGATTCACTCCCATTCGCATACGGGCGAGAAACCCTTCAAGTGCCCTCACCAGGGATGTGGCAAGGCGTTTAGTGTCAGGAGTAACATGAAGAGGCACGAGCGAGGCTGTCACAGCTTTGAGGGCGGTGCTATGGTATGAGATTTTTTTACGGGCGCGAAAGCAAGACACGACATACGCCTGCCTGTTCTAATGTATAAAGTACGATCTTTACTTCTTTTTTTCCTTTCACTTTGCGCGAAATGTGTCGCTTAGATACCCGTCGTTGGTTTTCATTTTACAAAGTCAGGTTATGCATTATGGAAGAGGCGTATTATGACGAGTGGTTCGTTTTGGGCATTTACACCGGAGTTACTTAATGAGAAGAGAGGAACGGCATGGAGTATGAAGGAGCAAGAGAACCGACATTATGGTTGGATGAGAGCAGATACAGCATACACGAGACGGATGGGAGCTGCGACGTCTCCTTTGCTTGCTTTGCATATGAACTTCGAAAGGGGAACATTCGTTGATTGGATGGGCAAAAGAAAGGGGCGATACCCGGAGATGAGAACCATGAGGTACAGAGCGAGATAATCTGTATCATTTGTAAAGTAATCGAGAGAAAAACAGTCAAATCAATAAACAAAGAAACAAACAGAATACCAGAGATCATCGCATTCATTCACGGTTACCCTATCCTTCTTTTCAGGTTACTACGTACTCACCGAGTCAGCGGTTCTGTGTGACGGTACCCCGGCCCCCATTTAGCCATCCTCCCGAGCGGCGATCCGCCGCATTGGGTATGCTTACGACGCCTAATGTCCAGCAAGCTTATATAATAAAATAGTTTCAATAGCATACACGGAGTACAAAATTAAATAAAAGGGCACATATGGAAATCAATACAGTAAAATATGATCCCGTCACCAGGAACCCCGGACTAGATCCTAAGATTTATTACCTTATTATTCCGAGAGCCCGTATAGGTTTATCCAAGGGGTCTTGTAACATCTACAGACGCACACTTCCACCCAAACCCACCAGGAACCACCCTGTCATCCACGCCTCCGAATCTCCCATGGTCATGGATATGGCACAGTAAGGCTACCTATGCCACTAGAGATTACCTATAGCTTGCCTTGCTTACTCGCAGAGTACAATAAGGTATTGATTGCACGATACGATAAGTAAATGTATCCTTCATCATGGTTAATATAATATTCACGGATGACCCCAGCGGCGTCTAATCTAGGCCAGGACAGGCAATAATGCAGCCCTATTCTGCTTACTCCGTACGCTCCACCTCTGCCACGCTAAACCCTCAATATCAGCCCATTATGGCGAAATACCAAGAGTCTACGGAGAGAAGTCCGTAGCTTATGCAAGCACAAGCAAAGGGATTTTCCGTGCGGGATGTGCCTAGGTATTCACTCGATATAGTATAGAGACTAACTAAGATAGATTTACTGTATCTTCTATAGTTCTAACTCCTAATTGCAATTTACCTACAACAACTAGAATAAACGGCCTGGCTTCTAGCGGAAATCCTTAATTTATAAGGCTTACTACTCGCCTTTTTTTTCAAGCCTGAGACTGGTTCCCTTTTTGCTCCATATTACCTGCTATTATGACCATTTAGAGGGTCTGCTAAGGCTTGAGTGAAAGCCAATCTCTTTAACCGGTAATGTCAATTGGAGAGCTTTGACGTTTATTGCGTGTAATGCAGATCTATGCTAGGGTAAAGAGCCAGTTATAAGTGTAGGATTTGTCCTGTACACGCTAAAAGGACCCAGTTTCAGACTTATAAAAGAAGCGCGAGTAGTTCGTTGCGTGGACGGGTGGAGAAGACGTTGATAGCGGGGTATTCCTTGCTTAGAGCGGAGCGGACCCCACTACTTACAATACTGTACTGTTCGTACCTCCGTATGTGATGTACAAGGAACTTCGTATCCGTATAAAGCGGGACGTCGAGGGATTAAGTTTCGAGCTTGGGCTTGGCTGGGCTGGATGAACCTTGTTAAATTGTTGTGAGGAAGGGAGGCTGAAAACTATATTTACTCCGTATTACTGCGGTATTGCTGCGGTATTGCTATGCGTTTTTACTTCGTATGATTAGATTTGGGGTTCATTTTATGGTAGGAAACTTGGGTAAACTGTCCGGAAAAGGAGGAGGGATCGTCTAGCGTTCGGCTCATGCGTGGAAGATCGAGCCGAAGAGCTTTGTGGTACAGATCGTCGGTGATCACTGACGGGATATAAAATAATCGCCGAATCGAGCTGATCATTAGCTATTAAGTAAATACCGATATTGTACCTAGGTATGTGTCCTTTTCAGTCCATTACTATACTGCAAGTTATTGGAAAACAGGTTTGGTATTGTACCAGGTACCAGGTACCGCACAGTATTGTATCACCAGACAACCAAGCGCATGAATTGAAAACATTGACAGCAGCATCTTGCATACCCTCATCCGAAAAGTTAAAAGAATCCGAAACTTGACACTTCGGTTGATTGACACCTGCAAGCTTGGTTAAGGATGGGACGGTGGGACGGTGGGACGGAGGGACGGCTCAGCGTGCATGAACCATCCGAGCGCCTGTGCCTGCGAAGCCCCGGCGCAAATCATCTGCTGGGGTTGGAAACGGGCCGTGTTGGAGGAGCGCGAGGGCATTGCATTGTGGTGTGTTTGGAAAATAAATGGATTTTGGAGATGGAAGATGCTGCTTCCGTGGGTAAAAATAGATTGAGCTCGACTTGTTCTGGTGGAGAGAGAGAAAGAGAGATGGAGTGTGGGAATTGGAAAGGAAGGAAGGATTGAAGGGGCTTTTTGGGGGTGGAAATTGCGTTTACGGCAGATGATAAAGTGGATGTTTGGTCGACACCAAATCTTGAAATGGGATCTTCTTGTGCATCTGGACTCTGAAGATCATTGATTAGGCCGTTGGTTACAGTAGGGTATCGCAGGGTTTCTCGGTGAGGCTGTGCATTCCGAACCAGGCAGACCAATTCTGGCTGTTCGGTAGGTTGGCGAGGTGTATAAGAGAGTGCTGCCCTCAGTTCACATTTCTATTTGCTACGTTAATCGATCTTGAGAATGATATCGAAATCAACATATAGCTGTGGGCCGCTGTTTGGTAGCTGCCTTGGTCGTTCCAGTACAGCATGTCGAAGGAGGTCCTCAGGATTTGTTGCGTACAAGATCAATTTGTTGTGTGCCGAGCGTCAGTGAGATGAGAATGAGTTCAGGAGTCATTATTCCATGATAGCCTTTGTGATCTCGAACATAAAAATTTCAAATGATTCCCCAACTCTCTGGCATTTCTCGCTCGTAGACCTTGCAAGTTGCTGACAACTCATTCCAGCATATCTCCCAGATGTGAATTCACGCCCGAGGAGTTGGTCGTGACATTTACGATGAGAAGATTCTACACTTCTATCAGACAGCACGCATGTCTTCATCATCTTCGTCTCACGGCCGATACTCCCTGTTGATGCCGCGCTGATGCAAGCGTTTACATCATTTGTTCCGAAGACTGAGTGCCATAATCTTTGCTGGGGGTTTGTGAAGAAGAGTCTGGCTCGCATTTCTGATTCTCCATCTATTTGACTAGCTCTGGTAGAGGGCATCAAACTTTAGTGAGTTCAGTTCTTGCTTGTAGGGTTTGATATTGCGACCTGACCGCGTCCAATTTGATCATGCTACCGGAGCAGTCTGAGTCCTAGACGCCTAGTTGGTGTCTCTCAGTTAAAAGAGATGGATCCATAGAAGAAATTTGGGTTGTCCAGCAGGAGAATCACACTCGTGGGGACATGCATGATCCGAAAAGCTCAAGTGTGAATTGCTACCATGGTAGGACCTGTATTCATCGTCAATGGAGTGAAAGCATTACCGACTTCCCATCTCGTAGATTCGTAAATCAGAGTTTCGACCCCGAGCATCTGATATCTGATTACCTCGTGCCGTCACCAAACCGAAAAGTTCTCCGCCGCCTGCTGACATGTTTCAGCGGTCTTTGTAGGCTGAAGCTGAAAGATAAATCACGGTCTTTCAATAACTGGTGATCCTCAATTGGAAATATCACAAATGTGTAACAACCAAGACCAGTGACCGCTACAAACATTCTCCAGACTACTGGAAGAACCTTAAGTTGCTAGTAACAAAGTGAAGACCATAGGACATGAAATTCTATTGAGTATATGTTCTACCATAATGCCATTACAACATTAGATGCTGGTCGCTCATGATATGGATTATTGACAGCTCTGTAATCAATCCAAGTATTCGATGCATTTCTTTCATGTGACAACGTGGTGAACGCGAGAAACGCCGCTTGAAGCTGTAGTTTCCAAAGCGGCAGCATCTTATCCCTTGATTGAGAAGCCCAAAGCTCAACACAGCTATTTACTAGACTCTGTAGCTTTTTGCCAAGTCAAGTGTATGATTAAACGCAAATGAAATCATGAGATAAACGAAACATTGAAGTCTTTAAAGTGACCCAAGCGACGCATGCTGCTGACATAGATGCTGACATACCGGTATGAGTAGATCACCAGCAAAAAGCACTACAAACAGGAGGGGCAACCTTCCTTTCCCGATATACCGGTAGTAGCCATACGGAAGGAGATGTTCCGCGTAAAAAGCAACACGAGGCCTGGAATCACGCTGACTTCGCGATCGATGAGGCTCAACTTGCCGTCGCGAGAAGGATTGGACCTGGCGATGATCATGGAGATGGTGCTTAGCTACCCAATTGCATAGAGGCTCTGTTTGGTCTTACTGTAAACAATTGTGCAGTAAGGGCAAGGTTTCAATTAGCGCTTATGCACCCCCCAGATTTGGGAGAATGGGATTGGGGTCCGCTCAGTTACTCGTTCTCGCTGCTCACGGCTCAGCGAGACATGATGGATCTCGGTACGGGGTATTTCAGCGTCTACTCAGCCAGTAGTGAGACCTGACGCCGGCCCGGGAAGTTTCTGGTTGGTGTATCTCTCTCTCTCTACCTCGATATCTTTGTGTGGATGGAGGTCACCTCAAAACATTACTCAACCACACCGAGCAGCCACAGAAAAAGAGCCGACCTTCCTAATACCGCAAACTCAAGATCATCCCGGCAATAACCTCTATATTACAAGCCGAAAAGGTCGGTGAAAGCGACAGTGGCTCTTCTCACCTGATCCATTTGTATTTCTTGTTTTTGGGGTGGAAAAAGCAAAAGCACCAAAAAGTGTCGGTTGTTCGTCGTCGGCTCTGACCGCATCCACAATTATTCAACCTCCACGGCCATCCTCCTTCTCTCTCCCCACCAGGGAAGCTTCTTGCCATGATCAGCCGCCCAGTTCAATTACCATGAAGTTTACAGCACCTTCGCAGCAGCTCTCTGTGAGGGTGTCGTCGTCTCCGTCCAATACTCCCGCACCTAGTACCAGCACCAGCTATAGCTGTAGATTCGCGATATACAAGAGAAGGGCCCACGGCCACCAACCACCATGGCATCACCAGCCAATTCCGTGCCCGATACCCAGCTCGGATTAACGAACGACGAGATCGCCCTGCTGCGCCATCACCAGCAAGCCGCCGCCGTCTCTACAGCCGGCGGATCGTCCTCCTCTCGAGCAGCTTCGCGCGCTTCCTCCCAAGGTCTCCTCCTCCTCGACGGCCACTCCCTCGCAGCCCTTGGTCGCCATTTCGATCGCTTGATGCAGCAGATACAGGGGCGATTGGACTATCTGAGTGACCAATCGCAGATGGTGGCCCAGCAGCAGTACGATAGGGCCGGGAATGCGATTGCGATTGCTGATGCGGAGATTGCGCGGTTCCACGATATATTGAGGCAGATTGACGAGCTGGAACTGGATTTTGATAGGATCAGACATATCAGGGATATCGTGAGGAGTTATAGGCAGAGGGTGGAGGAGATGGAGGAGCAGTTGGAGCAAAGTGGTTCTAGCCATCGACATCGACATCGTCATCATGGAGAGAGCTCTGGAAGCTCAAGGAGACATGGTCAGCATACTAGGAGATGATGCCTGGGTGGACTGTTGAAAGATAATGCCAGGAGAAGTATAAAAAGTGGTCACACGACTGGGGAAAAGTATGCTGGGGGTGTATTTGGTTCAAATCCATCAGTATGATGGAAGTGAACGAGCAAGAGATATTGGCCTCACGGCTGGAAGATGGAACAGCCTCGCGGCTCACTACTTTGGCGTTCATGTTTGTTATGGGGTCTTTCTGTTCTGCTAATACCCTTAAAAGCGTGGATTATCGGGATATTGTTTATTATGTAGCGTCTTTGCGAGCGGTTTTAATTTTTACGGCGGCGCCTTTCATACGTTGCTTTCTACATACTTTCCATTGCCTTAATTGGCCCGCATAACGACCTTCAAGTATGTACTTTCAAACTGGAAAGCCAGGATTGCAAATATATATTATGTCCGCTTTGGGAGGTCAAAATATTATACCTCGACCAAATATTGTCACACTCACCATAATAAGTTTCGATGTTCCAATCCTAGATTTATACCACCTCTAAGGACTACTTGTGTGTGAAGTTGATGCAACTGGATATCTGTTCATCCCACTCGGTAATAATGGACCGAAGCACCAGAAGGACATCGACTTCCTTTCTAGTGAGACATAAACCAGCTTGAGAACTCAAGTTGACTTTTTGATATGAAATAACTCCTGCGGACACACGTAAGACAGCTGACCGTTCAATACATTTAAATACCTTTCATGAGCTCTAGAGACGAGCCAAATAGGGAGCGAATCACACGAAAATTCCAACCATTCTGGATTCACGCTACGACTGAATCTAAGTCAAAAATTTCACTTCACTTGCAGTATCTCAACCTTTACCTTGTTGTCGATAAGGAATGGAGCTATTTTCTACACAAGGCTGACAAATTTGACGAGGCTGAATTACAGCTTTGAGCGGCGCGCGGCTAGCTGTTGGTTTTACTCCTTTCGGTTCTAGCGCGGGAATTCCTTAATCCACGTCGCGTCAACTCCTGAGAAAGAGCCCGCGGCTTTCCAACAGTTAACTCTTTAGCTCCTCAGTCGTAATTCTCTGTTATGGATCCCGACGACCTTGCTATTGCATTGGCTAGGGCCAAGACTGATAAATCCGACCAGGTAAGAACTCTATCATCACCAACAGCTCAAAACACAACACATTCGGCTTCAGCCTCGGACGCGGGGCGAACCTGGGATGACTGAATGCTGGCTATCTGCGATCCATGTCTTCCTGTATATACTGTTATTTCATTGCTAACTCTTCTGTCCATAAAGACCGGCGGTAGTAGCTCTGAAACCAACCTTACGGTTCACCCAAATCTACCTCTACCATCTATTCTTAAACCTCCGAGAGGCACCAATAAATCGGGCTACAAATATAAATATCCTGAAGCTGCTCCAACTCCCGAAGGCGAAGATGACGATGAATGGAATAAAGTGTACACGGCTGCGGATTCTCGGTTTTACAATAAACATGGGAAAAGCTCCCAAGCCTCCAAGAAGTACCGCCAATCGGGAGAGACCTACGAACTTGCCGTTGCCATGATTGCTGATAAGAAGCAAAAGGCGCGCAATGATTATATTTCACAGGCTGCAGAATTGGCGGGGGGTGGCGGTGGCTCTGGCGGTGTTGCTATTCTGCCGCCCAAGACCATAACCCCAAAACCCAAAGCACAGACAAAGAAGGTGCAACCTCCTCCGAGCTTGAAGCAGGAATTGTCTACAAGTTCACGGGACGGAACGCCAGGTGCGGATAGGATGCCTCTCAGCATATCAGAGCAAATAAAGCAAGAAGGGCGTCCTAGAAAGGCCCCCTCTGCTGCACCATCCTCCCATCAGGGCACGCCTGCTCCATCCACTGCATCGAAGGTAGACAGCCCTCCGTCAAAGATCGAGAAGCCCCCTCCCCCAAAGGCGGCTGTTAAGAAGAAGGGTACTGCTGCAGCGGTGAGGAAGCCGACGAAGCAATCGCAAGAAAGTACGTGCATTGTAAATTATTTGCGTCCATTCACCTCTGACAATATCCCCTAGACAAGTTCTCCAAGCCAGCTGGGAAAGGCGCAAGCCCTAGACCTGCCAAAAACAGTCTGGTCTCGTCCGACTCCGAAAGCAATGATGGCGGAGAGTACTGTGTTTGTCGCGGTCCCGACGATCACAGAATGATGGTCAACTGCGAAGGAGGATGTAATGAATGGTACCACTGCTCGTGTATTGGCATGGACGTAGAGGATGCAAAGGAACTCCTCGACCGTTACATTTGTCCAAAATGCAAGTCAGCCGAGCTGTTCACTACCTGGAAGCGCATGTGCCGATACAACAACGTTGGAGAACACCTCAGCTTGCGCGAACCTTGCCGAAGGGCCGCCCGTGTTACGGAGGATCCTCCAAGCAAGTATTGCAGTGATGAACACAGATTGGCGTTTATGGAATTTATTCGGGATCACATGGCTCGTCAAGATAATGCGCCGTCTATGGGGGGCAAACTCAATGTTCAAGAAGTGGCTGAGATTCTTACACACGTCAAAAGCAACGCCGAACTCCAATCTCTGGGCAAGAAACCACGCCTACCAATCCCAGAAGGTGCTGATCCAAGTAAGCACTTCAAGCCCTATTAACTCCCGCCATACTAATGAGAGCCAGCACGTCCCATTGGACTTGATTACATCACCCCTGAGGAAGAAGAGGAAATCAAAACCTTGGAGCTTAAGAAGCAAAAGATCCAAACCCAAATCGAAGGCTACAGAAACCAACAAAAACTCCTCGTCATGATCCACGAGCGTGCCCAAGCCGCCGCCAAGCACCCCTCAGTCGACGAAAAAGCCGTCTGCGGCTACGACAACCGCCTCGCCTTCAACGAGCACGAATTCGCGCACTGGCTTTCCACTGCCGAGGGGCAATCAGCATTCGAGACGCAGAAACTAGGTCCGCGTACCGACGAATCCAAGACTATAGGCGCGCGTCAACCACAGCCAATACAAAAAGCAGACGTGCCTGATGAGTTGCACAATATCTGTCTCAAGAGCATGAAGAGCTGTGCCCGACATAAGGGCTGGCGCCTCATCCACGGCCAGGATTATGCGGCTATGACGGCGTATCTGCAAAGGGAGTGGGAGAGGTGTGAGAGGAAGAAGGGAGAAGTTATCGATGATGCGGAGACGAGGGAGGCGGCGAGGGAGTATCATGCGCATAATACTGTTGAGCAGCTTTTTTAGGGGAAGGGATAGGATGGGATGAATTAGGCGTTCGGCTTGGGTTGGGGAATTGCATTGTTGGCGCATTTTGTATGCGCGGTGGCGTACTAGGGAGGCAAAACGATACCCATACATACGATACGATACGACCGTGCAGGCCTAATGGAATTTCCCATGTTTTCCATGTGATTTGCCTCTTTCTTTCCCTTTCCGACCTTTTCGGGGAACCTTTTCATTGCAAGCGCAGCAAACACTACCTACTCAAGGTAATATTCTATCTGCGAGCGCAGTACAATATACAGTATATAATCTGAGACCCTTCTCTTTTTCGTAGCCAGCATGCACACTAAACACCCAGCTGGCGTTCACTTGGCGAGTGTGAGATTTCTGGAAAGCAGGAGGTTTTCAGCCAATTTTCTTTTGATGAATTGATGATCTGGACTTTCTTCATTACGCCGTCGGACTATTTTCTGCATCTTTATTTGGGTTTGAAGGAATTATTTGCTGTCATGCTACGTGCTGCTGTTATTCTATTCGTTTGCTTCATTACTATGTATCACGAGCACAGCACAGTTCCCTATCTACTTCTCGCCTTGCGAATTACTGATTCTCCCCCACTCTCAAGCCCTTTCTTTTTCTCACCGTGGTCGAACGGGTTATCGGTCTGGATGGATTGCGATTTGCGATGATTGTTTTGCTTCCTTTTCGGGATGTGATATTTTTTTGTGGTACTGTATGGAGCTTGTGTGTAGTGGGAAAGAACAAGGAACGGTGGTTGAATGGATGGGTAGGTAGGGGGTGAGAGGGGAAGTGAATGAATGGGGTGGGCATTGACTTATTATGTCGCGAGTCCTGTTTATTGCCCGGCTTCTCTCGTGAAGAAATTTTTTATCACAGGCCCATAGAAATGCTTCTATGTTGGCGTGCTACTGGTGGATGTGGGAATTGATCTTAGTTTAGGCACCGTGTCTTCTCTTAGTTTATGCGATAAGACACGGTTTTAGATGTGTTATTGTTTGATACACCTACGTTCTTTACCTAGCATATATATTTTGAGGATTGACCTGTTTGCTGTCATGTTATGTTTACTCTCGTTCCTGCGTTCGTTTATAGGGGTTTGGACTAGTGAATCAATTGGTTTCTTGAATTAGGGATAGATGGATGCCCGACGTTTTATTTGTATGGTGCGAGGCTGTTGATAGCGTAAGTGGGATTGATACATTTGCTCGTTAGTACAAGCAAGCAATATAGGGATTCGCATTTCTCTTGTAACAGTGCTGCTTGAGGGGAAGAGCTACGCTTTTATCGGGTAACGGCGGGGTTGTAGTCACTGGAATGGCTCGACAGCTAACCTTCTTTCTGATTCTGGTAGTATGTTTTATTTGGCAGTTGGTTTTATGATATGGCAGATGGCAGATGCGAATAGGTCAAGATCTGGTATTGCTATTTGATGCTATTGAAGTCTTTGATCATTTTTCTTCCAACAGGGCGTGTCTTGTCCAAATAAGGGGAGCGGCCCTGCCAATATTGCCAGTCGAGGTTTTCTTTGGTGTATATTTCCGATTCTGGCTTCAAGTCTCAAATACTGATTTGGAGTGCTGCAAGAGAATAGATATAAAGTTTGTTCCTCTTGTGGTGAGAGGGAAGCCTATTGGGTTGACAAAGCAGGTAAGGACCGGATTTTTCAGGGATGCGTTGGCCTCCAATTCAGGTACAGCAAAAAGTGAAAAGTGTCTCCAGCGCCATAGCTGTACCTGATTTGGAGGTCCACTCTGTCACGAGTATCTCGTGCACGTGATATGCCCCCCCCCCCCCCCCCCCCCCAATATCAAATCCTCTTAAGGCTCCTTCCTAGCTAGTGAGGCCTCTGCACCCCTAATTTATGACCTCAACCCCGTGAGCCTCCATACGGGACACACGCCCCGTTGCAAAAAGCCAGACCTTCGCCCGACATTGAAGGTATGTCGTACAAAATATCAGCCATCCCATTGGTCCTATTTTGGGTGGCAAAGTAAGTCATGCGATGCCGATGCTTGCATGCATGGTAACTACGGAGGTACACCCGACCTCGTCTCTCACTCAGCCTCACTGACAACATACACCTCTACGACTTCACTAAACAGTGACATATAGTAACGAGTGGTGTCCTCATTTCGAGGAGCAGATGCAACAATGTCCGTTGCTGAAAAGAAAATGCCTGCGCTGCAATGGGGTCAAGATTACCAGCCTTCTGTCACCCAGCTGCAGCTGCATATTTTCCAGGCAGTGAATCTTTTACAAAGTGTCGACCCGTACATTATCTGCATCTACGATCACAGTGAGGCATTCCTAGAACGCGAACGAGCAATGATTTCCATGAGAACAACAGCACAAGACCGGCAGGAGAAGGAGCAGCCGGCGTCCTTGCACCATTCCCGCAGTTATCGATGGGATGCTTTTCAATTATTGTACAGGCTGTGTATTGTTATTCTAGAGCGGTAACTAACTGTGCGCAGCGATGTACGTGACACTTCATTACCTGTCGAAATCTACATTTTCGACCGGGTAAATTCCGACACTTTTCTTGGCCGAGCTCGATTCTTCCCATCAGCAGATAGTCAAATCACAAAACCAGTCTGGATATATCTCGAGGGCCGAGACAACCTCGAGGAGGTCTCCGGGAGATTGGAAGTCGACGCATGGTTCTTAAATAGTTGGCCTAAACTATGTAAGGAGGACTTCGTTCACTCGAATCTCTCAGCCACACCGAGTAAGTCGAATTTCTGTATATATTATAGCCCGGTTGACTCTTCTTAGATGTCTGTTTGAAATTGGACACCGGCTTAGAATTTGTCTTGACGAGTATTGGATATTACGACGCCCCAAATCTGACTCTTCGCAACAACACTCGACCCGATGGCTTCGTTTGTCCACTAAAAGCGATATTCCGTCAAACAGACAGTATTAACTTGTACGTAGACGAATCACGAGGAGGACAATTCCCCTGGTCGCATGATTGTTGGATGCCAGGGGGGTCGAAAGTAACTACAGCAAGGTTCTATTTAGCGGAAATAGTTTTAGCACTTGAAGACCTGCAGGAGTGCAATCCTCGCCCTTGCTACTTCACCATATTTGACATACACCTCGATAGTCTCGGCCATATCGCTTTCAGGGACTTCAACCTTTGTGCAGTGGAGACTTCTAAAGACGTTGAAACCCTGGAATATTTGGAGTACATGGCGCCAGAAATTTTGCGTGCTGAATGCTGTCACCCGCACACCATTTTTTGGAGCCTTGCAGTTGTTGTGTTTAAGATTTGCTGCTCCTGGACCCCTTTTACGGCGCTCGCTGAGGACACGCTTGAAGTAGTCGAAAATATTTGCCGAAAGCAAGTCCACTTTCCTCCGAATCTACTTGGAAACGTTGGAAAAGACCTAGTCGAGAGCCTGCTGATCAAGGATCCAAAGAAGCGACTTGGGGCAACGCATGGGATAGAAGATGTGAAAAGTCATCCATTTTTTGCAGAAATTGACTGGGTGAAGCTTCGGAGGCGAGACACAATCCCACCTTTTAAGCCCAGACCCCCTATCAAGTTTGCGAACCGAGAATTTGGTTCGCCGCCTGAACTAAAGACATCCGCACGTCGAGAAGATGAAGATATCCATATCCCACACAGTTTCGAGCTTCCGAATGGAAGCTTGTCATCCTATAAATCAGCAGAATCCAGCTTTAGGCCATCATCAGTCTATGGAACACCGGCGTCATATCCAGATATTTGGTCCAGAGGAAGCGCTCCATCTGTCGGGAGTTTTCTCAAGCAGATGTTTGCGACGAAAGAAGAAAAAGAACGGCGGCTAAAGCCTGAATTCCTAGATCTTGTCCGCGAGAGAGGTCTGCAACTTCCGCTCTCCGAAGAAATAAATTGGTCTGGGCGAGGACAGCATGTGGAATTTAAAATCGCACAAGAAATACCGTTGAGAGAACTGAATGCTATTGGCCATGGAGGTTCAGCCATAGTGGACAGTGTGTTGTGTAGACGAGTCAAGCTTGCGAGGAAAACAATGATGTGTACACGGAGACAGAAATTGGAGACAATGATTAATGAGGTGGAACACTTGCAATCACTTCGGCATCCGCACATTATACAGCTCGTTGGCAGCTACTTGCAAGGCAGGAAGTTCGCGATACTTCTGTATCCAGTAGCTCAATGGAACCTATCGACGTTCCTCGAGCTCTGTTATGCATATGATACTGAAACGGGGCAGGAAACGGTAGGCGGACAGGCTATTTCATTTAAGTTGCGAGCTCTACCAGGATTATTTCAATGCATCATGCATGCTATGGCCTATATTCACGCAAACACGATTAAGCACATGGATATGAAACCGCAAAACATTCTCGTGCGTGCTAACGTGAAGAATGAGAGCTTATTCACGGTCTATATGTAAGTACCTTTTCGCCCCTCAAGACATCACACTGACATTTGAATCAGCGCAGACTTTGGAATCAGCAAGAAATTTGCTGCCGACGAGCTGTCTCGAACTGACAGCTTGATTGCCTTGACGAGAAAATATTGCGCCCCTGAAGTTCACGACGGAGAACCACGGGGAAGAGCCGCCGATATCTTTTCACTCGGCTGTGTCTTTCTCGAAATTGCCACGATTATTCAATCTTGCTCTGTCGACGAGTTTGCTGAGTTTCGTTCTCATCGTACTAACCCGCGAGACTTCAACGATGACGAGTCATATCATGCGAATCTGGACAATGTTTCAAGATGGATTGACAAACTCCGCGCAATACCGCAACTGGGATTTACACGGAGAGATGGAATAGTAGAAAAGCTGGACCTTATGCAACAGATGGTGAAATGGAATCCAGATGAGAGACCAACTGCCTCGCAAGTGCTCGACCGGTTGGGCGGGCCTAGAGACTGCTGTGAAAAGGAGCGAGAAACGTACGTGATTGAAGAGCCCTCGCAAAACGAGCCAGTGTACTGAGAGCAAGTGCGGGCTTCACATGTTGTGATGACTGCTCCGCGTAGCTAGAGGATATGAAAGTTTGTGCTCAAGTTTCTGATCTAAGCGTCGCTCATTTCTCACATCGATAAGTGAAGTTTTGAAATCGATATAGGAAGAGGATGTTTCGACTTGAGATGCCGGCATTATATGTTTGAATAATTCGAAGATGGGCGGAGGTCGGATTTGCCTTGTACTACACTACCACCCTAGAGTTAGATTTCGCGCTCCGAAGTCCCGACTTCCGAAATGTACTACGGGCTTATGGCAACTGGAATGCAGGGCTGCGGCAGGGGACAACTATTTCAAGAAGGTTGTGTTCGCGACGATGGTAAGATCTTGCGCGGTAACCAATCATATGCAAAGGCGCCTAGATCCGACTCCACTTAGAGGGGCAGGCACCACAAGTCTTGCCAACAGGATTGTGTGAAGGAGCGGACTGATCTCAGTGCCTCATTGATTCTTTTTGAGCGGGTTCGATTATTGTATACAAGTATGTGCGAATTTCCCAGGTAAATTTCATATCAGTTCAATTCGATTTTCTTGTTTAAACGCCTACAATTCACGCCACCATACGAAGAACATAATTACAATACACCAAACCCAAATTCTCACGCTCAAACCTTCACATCACAATACTTAGCATGCCTACCGTAAAAATTGCAATCATTGGTGCCGGTCCAGCTGGATTAGTATGTTTATTTTGCCCCCCCCCCCCCCCATTTTCCAGTTTTCAAAGTGTCTACCCTTAGGAGATAATCACTCTCAAAGCTAAACTCTTCAACTCTTGAGCCAACCCTTGTACATATACTAACCCTTTAATTAGACACTAGCGCGCATACTACAACAAAACTCCATCACCTGCATAGTATATGAAGCCGAGTCCTCACGCAACAACCGCAATCAAGGTGGGACACTGGACTTACACCCTGACGCCGGACAACTAGCTCTCAAAGAAGCTGGCCTCCTCCCAATATTCCACAAGCATGCCCGTCCAGAAGGAGAAGCGAGTAAAATCGTAAAGTACGATGGGTCTGTGCTCTGGGACGATAATGTCATGGAACCTTGGAGATCTGCAGAAGAAGGCGAGCAGCAGAGACCAGAGATCGATAGAGTTGTCTTGAGAGACATCTTGATCGACTCTCTTGAGGAGGGAACTCTCAAGTGGGGGAAGAAAGTCCTAGGAGTTGTGGAAAACGAGAAGACGAAGGGGAAATTCAATGTCTCTTTTGCGGATGGGACCATGGAGCAGGATATCGATCTGCTGGTTGGTGCTGATGGTGCATGGTCGAAAGTCCGGCCTCTTCTCACGTCTGAGAAGCCTTTCTATTCGGGTATCACGATGATTGAATTTTGGGCTTTAGATGCCGAGAAGAAGAGCCCGTGGGTGTCGCAGTATGTCGGACAGGGAAGCATGTTCATGTTCGACGAAGGGCGTGCCATCATATGCCAGCGCCAGGGAACCGGCGCCATCCGCACCTATGCCTGTGTCCGCAAACCGGAATCCTGGGCCAAGGAATGTGGCATCGATTGGACAGGTGCTGATGCCCGGGAGCGTCTTGTAGCGCAATACTTCAACGACTGTGGAGAGGATCTAAAGCGACTGATTCTCGAAAGCCAAGATGGGCTTATTCTGCGCCATATATGGATGCTGCCTGTAGGTGTGAAATGGGATAAGGACGCTTGCCCTGGAGTTACTCTTCTGGGGGATGCGGCTCATCTGATGACACCTTTCGCAGGCGTGGGTGTCAACGTTGCAATGGGCGACGCGTTGGAGTTGGCAAACGCTATCATTGCGAGGAAGGAGAGCAAAACGGCAAAATTCGTAAGCGATAAGAATAACATTGCTCGTGCAATTGAGCAGTATGAGAAATCAATGTTTGAGCGGGGAGAACGAGCTGCTACTAAGACGATGCACGGCTTGAAGGGACATTTCAGCGCTACTGGATCAGAGGAAAGGGCAAGCAGAATCCAGAAAGGGTATAATATGATTATGGCACAGAAGGCGGAGAAGAAATAGAAGGCCTAGCAGCTGCCATGATGGTACATAGATGAATTGGAGAGTTATACTCGACTCGGCTCCTTGGAAATTTGAAGGCTGTCTGGATAGCAATGAATTACCGATTTCTCATGCATTATCATTCGACAAGACACAACCATTAACGTGCTAGAGATAGGTGTTCTCAAGGAAGCTGCAAGAGAGAAGCGAACCAAGTTCTGTTTGTATAAGGAGCCAAAAAGTATCACTGTGTTTGTCCAGGAAGACGAGGGTGAATAAACACATGAATCGCTCAACTAGCTTTCAAGCAGGCTGTGATTAACCAGCATGAGTATATGACAAAACGAAATGTTATGACAGGTCCGGGGCACGGCCCCCGGCTGCGGCTGATACTGGAGCAACACCGCCCAAACCGAATAATAAGCAATAGCAAGCTCTTATTGCACTCCATAGAACTTTGCTTCATGAACATTATAACTTCTTTTTGGCTTCGCAATATCCTTCCGCAAGCCCTGCTCTAAGACGTCTTGCGTCGAAGTACGCTATGCCCGCTAGAATGTGGCGTTATGGAATCCACTCGTTTCTTGAGCTATTAAGGCATCGTCTACCGGCATCTTTAGATCATATGCTAGCATTCATCTATCTAGCTTACTCGATGATGGCGCTATTATATGAAACAGTCCCGGCATTCGAGGATACATGTGTACAGGGCCTGAGGCATCTGAATGCTTAGTCAGTAGTGAGGGAGACTAGAGGGGGATCTCATCTAAGGTCACTCTGTTTCTCTTCCTTCTTTAGCCTCACCTCAATTCAAGTCATACTTCACACCCAGAACGCTCAGCATTCCGCAACATGGATTGAGTGCCTTAGAGATCTCGGACGTTATCGAATGGCAATTGAAGATGATGACATCAGAGATCGAGAAGTTTGGACTCGCGCAGATCGGGAAGGTGTAAAACTGATTATAAAAACTAGCCAGCGTTTGAACTGCAATTATAAGCCATTGCCTGTATCAGCAAAGGACGGAGACCGACTAGGCGCAGAGTTGAGGTTGGCAGAAGTGAAAAGCGACGGAGTGGAAGATTTGAGGACTAGGAATTCGTTATATTTGCAGGCACAACTTCTTATTTGGCAGCAAGCTTCACTTTGCAAATTGCCAGACAAAATCAAGTGATGTAGACTTAAAGACACAACCCCCCAAAAAACAGGGACAGATCACAACATGATATAGGCTGAAATTTGTAGGTCAAAGATATCCTAGCTAGGATTTATATTTGGCCCTGTTCATTGTTCTTATCTTTCGTTACACGTCTCTGGACTTGTTGAGAGGTGATGCCTCTGGCACAAAGAGTCCAATACCGGGTGAAACTTAGCCCCTCAAGTCGAGAAGCATATCCCCGCCAACAGATATCTGAACGATGGAAAATAATCCTTCTTCTGTTGTCGGAATCTTTGGCAACTGTGCCCGAACGACGCCGTGACTTGATATAGATTTTACAATAATTGCGCATATCAGCGGTCAAGAAGATCGCTCAGCTCAACCCATCGTTTTTCCGCCAAGCTCACAATGCCCTTCATCTCTAGCATTCCAATCGTGGTGCCCCCGGCTTTGGAGATGCCTAACATCTTCGTCTTCCCGCTTCCACAATCTATAACCACCGTAACAGATTCTTCACATAGTCCCTCCTCAAATGTATCAGGGTCGACCAAGATCCAGCATTTTTGAACCTTTGCTTGCTTTTGTTCTTTTGCCTTGAAAACCAGCGACGTAACAGCAATTGGCAGTCCTCTCAGCTGTAGCTTTTTTGATTGTGCCACCGAGTCCTCGCAAAGTATCATCTCCCGATCTGGATCCCAGTATGCCTTTGGTAGTCGTACATTCTTCAGCGCCGAGATAACTCCCGCCCAAGCTGCATCGAATGGGTTGCCGTCCAGAGAGATGAACAAAATGTCGATATAGAGCGTCCAAAATGCCTTTACTTCCGGCTCGGGGACATCCTCCTCATCTTCCTCCTCCATCTTGTCCTGGTCGCTGAGATCCGGCGGCTGGTACCAAATCCTCAGGTCTTCTCCGTCAACCAATCCACTGGAATGTAGCAACGAATATATCCTCGTGCTCAGACTCTGCGCAAGCGTGCTAGGAGGTTGACCTGGCATGAAGGCAGGGGAGCATCCTGTCGCCAACTCAATATTCGGGACGAGTAGATCTAGTTCCTTTGCCTCATTGTATCCTACCTTCGACGACGGCGCTGTTGATGATTTGTCGACGCGGTAACCTGCCACATTGTTCGCAAGCAGTATTTCTGCCCGAATCCCACAGACAACCGTTGTATCTCCTATCCGTACCACTGCGCTTCCTTCGGCATGTGTGAGAGAGCCATTGTTGATATGCGGGGTCCGAAATTGTGTAGCTACTCGACCGTTTGCGCGTGTTGGGATGGAGGAATCGGAGGTGGGTTGGAGATGGGCGAGGAGGTATGGATGGGGAGAGAGTTTGGCAAATGTCTCCCGAGGGAAAGAGAGGGTTGATTGGGGGGCTGCGGAAGCCATTATTGGGAGTTGGTCATGGCATATCAAAGAATAAATACTATGTTGTAGTCGCGATTTTGCTTTTTTGATAGAGCTAAAATCGGGTTCTGCCGAGGATTTGCCGGTCTCCCCATGATCAAGTAAAATCTCTTATACCTTATGTAAGTCTGGCTGGATATTTGGAAATACGTGCACTTGTCTATTGTTCCATTTTGACGTATTTGGTGAAAGCTACAATGATGGTCATTTTAAGAAAGGGAGGTGGGAAAGGCAAGGCTTATACCTAGCCTAGGCATCTAGCGCTAGCGATTTATCATAGGAATAAAGCACGAACGGAAAGACTTATTAGTAAAGTTGTACTTAGCTGCTAACATAATGTCGATCATAAACTCTCCACTTCAGTTCGGTCTTACTCTACACACTTTGACATGTATGCAATTATCCTCTCATGCTAGTATTAAGCTATAATTCGATCATCTTCTTAACTTACATATCCCAACAAAAGTTGTGCTACTAGACTAACGTGATTTTAAGAAAGTATTCATATACCTTGTGCAACCAAAAGAGCGCTGGTTTTTAGGAAACTTTCAAATGTCTCGTAATTTAGTTACGGAAGTTGGGAAAGTTTTCATTTTTGCGCACATAACGTAAGCTGTGCTTATTCTAAGGCCAAGTCTGGTTATAGCTGTGTAGCTGCTGGGTTGGAAGCTACGCCATTTTGAGATGGAGAACTGGAAGGGGGAAAATTCATTCTCACTTTCGATTGTGGGGACTACGAGCAACAAGTATTGTACGCATAGAAATTTCCACTCCATGGATCTAGCATTGAGAACTGCTTATACTCGAGTATTATGGAAGAATCTTAATCCCGTAAGTGAAGAGCCTCTACTTTCATGCTCGCTCCCCTGCCTCCACCCACCCCAAACCGTCTCAATTCGAGAACTCGGTCCTTTCAGACACGGCTGTGTATCCAGATGGGAAAAGTCTAATCTTATTTCATATGCGGGAGCCGTTTCAAAAGCAGGTAGGTACGAACTCCGTAGGCAGACTTTGCTGCGGCCCCAATACGCTAGCTAGAGTACATAGGTACAATATGGGGGCTGCAAGATCCTCAAGGTAAAGCAAGTGCTCAACAATATCGAGGCGGCCTAAATTGCGACAGTACCGGAAGGTTCCGACTTCATACAGTGAGAAGAGTGTTTGATTGACGTGAAATTTGGGATAAGGCTCTTCTGTATGTGGCTATAGCCTATTGGCATCGCGCGCTCAACACTCAGCTTGGTCCGTATGCGCAGCATCTTCACAGCCTCGTCACCCATTTGGTCGGTCGTTGGGGCGTCTCAATCGACTACTTGATATTTAATCTAGTAGAGGACTTCGGAATCTTCTGTATAGCTAAACAAGGTTGTTAGTCTCATAATCATGAGCACGGCACCAGAGGAGGCTTCTTCTAACCCTTACGCCCCGGGGAAGATTGTGCCTTCCGGTCGCCTCCAGGCCAATCGTTTGAGACCAATAGGAATATTCCCTAGATGCGAGAACATGCCAGTCGTTTAGGACCAATAGGAATATCCCCTTCTAGATCCGAGAACACGCCTCTCCGCATCATTTCTCAAGGATGGGATTTTGGATACAACCCGCACCACATGTTGAGCGCGTACTGACAAATCAAACGCGGAGCGCGGAGCGAGGGCCTCGTTACACAAGGACAAGCGTGTGCAGGGAGCGGCAACTTTTACACATGCATCCGGCTTCTGCTTCCAGCAAAGGTCTGCTGCATATCATACGGCCCCCCTTCTTTGGAGATGTATATTGATATCGATACTTCCGTCTCAGGGAAGTGTTTCAAAAACCGACAATGACGAGATAGGAACAGCAGCTTCCCGTCTGACAGTGCTACATCGTTACCAAGATCTTTACTGCGCTTCCCCCGTTACCACCTCAAAAGGATAAAAGAACAAGCCCCCTTCCTCCCCATTGGAAAATATCGGACACATATTCGAGCCCGTTGAGTCCTCAAAGTCAGCTGTGAATCTAAATCTTGGTGTGTTACTACACCGGTCCTTTTGACGGCCGTGCTGACTGAGATCCAGATGTCATTGCCACTAGTCTTATTGTATACAGGGATGGTATTCTCGGTGGTGTTCTCGACATATTTCTCGGCATTCTTCTCGACCATCTTCTTCACTACCTTCGCGACTGTTGTCCTTTTCTTCCGCATGCCTGCTCGAGTTCTGATATTCCTCAATCCTGACAAAACAGAGCCCTTCAATCAGTTTGGCTTCACCCAGCCAGTCCACATCTTCAGCAAAGATGATCCCAGCATTGTTTGGCGTGGGACGGTTCACATAGACCCTGGGAACCAAGGACCAAATTTGATCACAGAAGAAGCTATGCGCTTTGTCCATGGACACCCAACAGGACCTGGAACTACCATTAGAACCTATGATGGCGAGGAAAAATCGGTTGGTGGTGAGGTAGAGCTTTGCTTTTCTGGCCCTGGACCAAGGACCCGATATCACAGAAGAAAGTTTCGCCACGTACCTCACATCATAGATGGCACTGACATGGTTCTGAACCATGATTTCTATATCGAGGTATTCCCGGAGAAAGTACCGGGTATGCTGATGATCCGGGCCGGGGGAAAGAAAGAGACGAAAGGTATATTGCACCCCTTTGAGTTTGTTTATTGCACTTGCTTGAGATTGACTGGGCTCCAGAGCAGAAACGAATAAGAGAACAGGCGCGGCTCGAACGGCAGCGGCAGCGAGAGGATAAGGCGCGGGTCCAGGAGGCAGAGCGGAGAGAAGAGATTCGAGTAGCCGAGGAGAGAAGACAAGCTCGAGAGGCTGAGTACTACTACTGTTAGAAAGGCAGTTGATACGGGGTAATGAGTAACTGTGGACTGAGGCACGTTGCGTTCTTATTTCTTGTTTTTCATGTTGTAATATTTAAATATCACTGCTTCCCACGAAAACCACCTGCACGCTTGCAAATCTACGAGAAATTAGTGCCGATCCTAGTTCAGAATGGGCCAACTTACGCAGCAGTTGCGGCAAATATCTCAATTCTCCTAGCTTTCGTGGTCGTTACCAGCGCCAGCGAAAATATCACCGTAAACAATGCGACGATAACCAACCTTGTCAGCATCTCGCTAACACAATAGAGGACCACGACAGCCAAGACTGGTAGCAAGGAGGCGATGGCGGTCCCAATTATATCTGCAAATCTGATCGCTATCTTCTCCCCATAAGCACATACACTGTTTTCTACATCAGTTGGCCCCCGACGTCTACCCCACAATTTATGCCACAGTGCCGTCAAAGGTTTTCGCAAAAATCGTGTGAAGGAGTCGCCCACCAACCTATCGGGCGTGACCACCAACAGGTCTTTCCCATCTTGCCAGACATTTCTGTCCAGGCCTTCCAGAGCATAATTGCCCCGGCTCGAGTCGGCAAGCCATTCGTTCATGAACTCAAGATTGCCTGCTTCAGGTTTATCAAAAGTAGCAAGCTGGCGTTGTTGGAATAGACACTGATCTATTGAGGTTGAGCAAAAGATCCCATTTGAATCAATTGAGAGGTTTTCTACTGTATTGCTTCAACTTCTTCCTCAAACGTATCATCGTGTGCCACTGCGAGCCCAGTACACCGTCATTCCTTCGACTTAAAAGAAACCAGTTCTTGTTGCGGAGCCTTTTCCGCGAATTTTCAGACCCGCAATCTTCCTTCGTGTATTCGTTGAGGCTGGTTTCGAGATCAACTATCTCGGCTTGCAAGTAAAGCAGGTTGCGTGCATTAAGGGTTGCGAAGCGACGGTATATTCCCAACTGAGGATAGGTGCCCTGAAGAGCCGCAAGTCGGGGGTAGCCCTCTGGTGGCTTTTCCATTTCAAGCTTCTCGCTGGGGAGGACAATCGGAACAGTAGACTGATTGAAGTGGAGAATTTATGGATGCTCTGTATGATACTATCAAAGCTGCAAGACCAGCAATACTGATGCTGGCCATGCATGGTGGTATATGAGGTGAGAATGCACACAAGGCTCTCAATAGCCTTGTGTCGGGCACAACTTGCGCTCTGCCTTGCTGGCATGCATGTACACCTACCCAATATAATGTGAAAGAACGCCACATGGGTTATCAAAGACCAATAATGACAACGGAAATATAAATTGCAATCAGGGCGTAGAAGGAAGTTTTTCAAGTGAAAAACAGATCTGAAAGGAGGTCAGGGACACACTTCGCGGCCCGACCCACCTTTCGACCAGATTGGATTTCAAACCCTTCGCATACCAGTGACAGTTGAAAACATACTATTGGTCCTCCTTCTCAGTACACAGGTGCAAGCTGGTGAGTTGTTATCCTTCTGCTGGATGATAGAATAGAAGGGTGAACGGACGCGAAGCCCATCCACTTGGAGCTGGTGGAGATAGAAACATGCTGACTAAGGCGGACACTAAGATCTTTCTTGCCTCAGGCTGAAAGCTTAAAAGTATTGGAAGTTCCAATCTAGCGTAAACAACATCGGTATCTTCGCAATTGCGCCTCAGTGGGTTGTAATTGTGTTGCTTCGTTCGGATGAACTTTCCTTGACATTGAGATGTCCAAACAGGAGAAGTGGCTGAGTCGTGATGGCCGATTCCACTGTGTACGACGCGACCTCAAGGTCCTCAACATGCACGATTGCTGCCTTCCCCACCACGGTTCATGCCCACATGCTTCGATCTTGGTACGCAGATACCGGTAGTCCGAGTTACCAGCAGCGCTTGAATGAATGGCAATATCGTTATCCGGCCCAATGAAGTCGGTAGTGCCTTCTTTGCCTTTCATTTATCGAGCGTCAATTGAGAAAATACTTGCGTAATTCTTTCGTATATTCCTCACTCCGCACGCACTCTTGGGGCTATTTACTCGGTACTCTCCTGCGGAATGAATTTTCCAATCATCCTTCAAGCTATGGACAATAACTATTGGAGGCTGGCTTATCGAATTGGGTCGAATGGGGTCACTCGGCGCATCGGTCCGCAGGGGCAGCGGCGGAGCCCGGTAGTCGCAGCGAATCATGTTGGATGTGTTGCCGCCGTTCCTGCAAGAAGTAACCTGGAAGAACCCAGCTTCGACCCCGCAATTGGCCAAATGCCATCTGCACATCACCACGTCCTGCGATGGTCCTATTCGTAACGGGCTTTTTAGTGAACCGGCTCAGAGCTTGTGTCGGTCAAACTCGTTCTCTTCCATATCATATATATTTCCTTGGGATGCCAAGAAAATATAGCTCTGGTCTACAACTAACTGCTTCTTCGATCCAAGAGAAAAGTTCAAGCTGACTACGACACTCACGCCAGAAACCAATCCTTGTCTAGAGCTTCCACTCTTTCTGCGACTTTCATGCACGATAGTAACGATAACGACGAATCTAGAACTAGTGGCTTCGATAAGATCACCATTTTCACTTTGCGGTTGACCACCAATATAGATTCGCGATCAACCGCCGCCATTCACACCATCTCTACGTTTTCTAAACGAAAAGGTATTGCCAAAGCTTATCTTACTGGCTACTTCAATCACCGATCTCATCGGGGCATACCCATTGCCGAATTAAAGCGAAGACAATAGCCCCAGCGGTTGGGGTGACGGAGGGGCTTCACCTGCAGGAACTGGACCCCCGTTACGGCAGGCCATCCTGTATTGTTCCCCACACGGATAACCACATATATCCAACCTTCCACCGCTTTGTCCGTCGTGCGACTACAGTCTCCCCTTGTGTCGCTATCTCTCTTATTTCATCATCATATGCGCCAACATTCGCTATCTAATTGTCCTTTCTAATCGAGGAGTCTGGAATTCCTCTCATCATTGCGGCGTAATCACTTGTTGTATACCTTGAGCGCATTCTGAATTTCGCATACCCAACCAAACATACGTCAATGGGTGGCCTGTTTAACGAACCCTCTACGAACGTCGGACATCGAGAAGACTTTCATACCTAACGAATCGACAATCTTCCAGGAAGTGGCGATAACTGTCTTGCTGCTGGGTATTGAACACTTGAATCTGTATCGTCTGATATAACCTCGGAGGTGAAAGACTCAGGCGCCAAAATGCCCATGATATCTGATGAAATATCTGTTGCGAGGGCTGGTTCCCGAACAATGGCAGAATTAGCTAAACGGATCAATATACCCCTCACGTCAACGAGTCCGCCGGGTCTTATTGAAGCAAACACTGTCGACCCTTGGAAGAAGGCCGGCAAATATGCTCTGGGCTGGACATACTTTTGTATTGTATTGATTATTCTGGTAGCTGTGACCAGAGTATATCATCTTTGGACCGATAAGATCAGACAAGCCATGCATAAGCAGGAGGTGGAAACATATATGGAATCATACTCGCCCGACGCCGAGTATGCCATGAGGGACTTGCAGACAGGACACACTTCAGATCAATTATTTCCTCGAAACGGAGAGAAGCCCATGTCTTTGACCAGGGGACAATCCCATTGGTCGTCTATCGGAGTCGTCAATGATACCCTGGCGTTATTTAGATGGATTTTCTACCGGCCAGTTCCAGAAATTCGCTGGCGAAAGAGGACTTTGCTTAGTTTTCCCTCATTGGCAGTCCTTGCGATTCTCACCATTGCTGTGGCTTTTGTATGTCTGTACTGCTTTTTGCCTCAGCCCCTCTACTGGCAGAGCATCCAATTCGGATCCCCGCCACTTGCCATTCGGAGCGGAATGATCGCGATTGCAATGACACCCTGGATTGTCGCAACGAGTATGAAGGCAAACCTCATCTCCATGATTACTGGAATTGGCCATGAAAGACTCGGCGTCTTCCACCGATGGGGTGGATATTTGTGCCTATTTTTGTCCTTGGTTCACGCGGTACCATTCTACATCCAGCCAGTCTGGGATGACGGTGGACTGGCCATATATCAGAAGCTATTTCCGTTCTCCAACGGTAGTGGCTATATATATGGGACAGGAATTGCATGTCTTGTGCCCCTGGGCTGGCTTTGTGTAGGTTCGTTGCCATTCTTGAGATCCTTGGCCTACGAATTATTTGTCATGTTACATACCCCAGTTGCGATCGCATACGTCGGTCTCCTGTTCTGGCATTGTCATAACTACCTAACCTCTTGGAGCTTCCTATGGGCCACAGTCGCCATCTGGGTGCTGTCCTATGTTTTGAGAATATTCAACTTGAACTGGCTGAAGCCATGGAGAAACGCTTGGTTGATAGGAGATGAAGCTGCAGTTACATTGATGGCAGAGAACGCCATCAAAGTCACAATTCCTACCCAGATGAGCTGGAGACCCGGCCAATATGTCTATCTGAGAATGCCAGGCATCTCGATATTCGAAAACCACCCCTTCACCATCTCATCACTTTGCAGTGAGGATTTTCCCTCCGAGTATGGAGATCTGTACAGGGACTGTACCTTGGTCTTCCGGCCATTTGGAGGATTCACCCGCCGAGTGCTTGACACAGCAATTGAAAAAGGTCCCTTCAAAACTTACCGAGCTTACCTTGATGGGCCATATGGGGGGATGCAACGTGAACTTGCGGCATTCGATACCGTGATTCTTTTCGCGGGCGGTAGCGGTATCACCGCAATCGTCTCTCAATTGTTAAACTTGATCAAGAGAATGAGAGACGGGAAAGCAGTAACAAAGAAGATTGAGGTTGTCTGGGCCTTGAAGAGATTAGAGGCGATGGATTGGTTCAGGGAAGAGCTTCGGATTTGCAGAGAATATGCGCCTCCGGGAACTGTCACTTGCCAATTCTATGTGACCGCAGCAAAACGACAGACAAGAATTGGAGCGAATGAGAGAGCGCCTCGACCTATCAGCACAATGCTGCATGATAAGCTAGATGGATTTGTTTCTGGAATCGCATCAAAGAGGAATTCGGCTTATATACGAGACGAGGCAGGGGGTGATGAAGATAGGGAACAGGAGCTGAGATATGAGAATGAGGATGCCATCACCTCATTACCACAACAAAAGCATCTACAGCCAAGAGTCCTCCCACCACCACCACAAACTTCATTTCCTCCGCCACCAAAGAAAGCACTAAGAGAAAACTCACTCAAGAAATTAGAAGGACGTGAAAATACCTCCACGCCCGAACCAGATTCCCATGAGACAACCCGACAGTTCCTCTCCCCAGCATCCTCCACGGCATCCAGAAATCGAGAATTTCACTTCCCACCACCCTCTCCACGACAGGACTCTCCACACTTCAACTTTGCGCCACCGTCACCACATTCCTCCTACAACCCACAACACTATCCACCCCCGCCACCAGGCCCACCACCTCATCAAGCCTACCGACCCGCGAGCTATGTCTCACAAGACTCGCGTCCAGCATCGCAGGTACCCTCCGAGTTTCCCTTACCACCACACAGCGAAGATTCCAAACCTCCGATCCATGAAGACTCGAAGTCACCAGTGGAACCCGAATCCACCACTTCCACAGTCGCACCTCCCTACTTGTCCACCTTCCCTGTACCTCCAGAGCCAGTACACACCCGCGAGCCCTTCCGCAGCCGTGGCAAATCCACCGACCTCTCCATCAAAATACCTTCGTCCGGGCCCCCGCCACAAGCCCAAACCTTCGATTTCGGCTTCCCATCCACCCCCACCGAGTTCCAGAAGAACCTGATGCGTTTCGCATTCGTGGGCGCCAAGAAGAAGGAAGGCTGGGGTACCGAGTATGGACGTCCCGATCTGGGATACATGTTGAAGGACATGGCTACCGGTGGCGCTGATGGGAAGGGCATCTTTGGTCGCAGGACGTGTGTGTTTGTGTGTGGGCCGCCCAGTATGCGGGTTGATGTTGCGAATACAGTTGCGAGGCTGCAGTCGGATATTTGGGGGGATGATAGTAAGGATGAAATATTCTTACATACGGAGAATTATGCTATATAATGGATATGGTGAGAGGAGTGGTGAGTGATGAGCAGACATACCTTGTAATTAATATAGTGCTCGTAATGAATGTGTATATATCTATCGATTTATTTTGTCGGTGTCTTGAGTGCTGTGAGGTCAGACTAAAAACTGTGGTATAAGATAATCGTATCCATCTGTTCTCATTTTACTGTGCCTGAACTGAAGGGTTCAGGAACACGAGTGAAAAGGGAGAGGAGATTTGTGATCGCTTTCGAGTATCACGTGATATACAGCGTGATCTGAGTTGCTTGCTGAGCACAAAATCCCAGCTAGGCAGGTGCTTGCACTTCCTACATATCTAGTAAGTTTATTATGGTGGGTAAATATAATTAAATACGCTCAATGTAATGCCCTTAGCCTTGCATGCTTTGAGATATTTCACGTGATACCTCAGAGCATACCCCCTTTTCCAACTCCTCGGCTATTAGCTCTCGTCCGCACACCTTGTTTCAGTACATGAGGACGTTCAGGAACCCTTTCATAAGCATGATCTCTGGGTATAATCCCATACATTCAGCGCCAAATTCCAGTCGTATTTACTCCACAAGAATTCTTTCTTTGATGAGTGAGCTGTTCAGGGATCGAACAGTAGCTTTCGGATACCTGAGAAGATAGTTCATGCTTCTTTCGCAATCAACTACGTATAATTACCGATCCACCGATTGTTCCTTGTTTAATTCTTGATGTAATGATCATTTCGTGGGCATGATAAATCGCTGAAAGTACTTGTACAACATTAATAGCCCGGCCCTTTCTGAATCGAGCTCTGCGTGGGCGTGTCAAGCGTGGTCTGTTTCTACTTGCACATTCACTTCTCTCTTTACCCACACTCCATTACCCTGACGTATACTGTGTTGACTGCTACCATCATCTGACGTCGAGCGGCTCGAGCCCCTTCTGGACCTTTCTGTTGCCGGCTCACCTCTAAGCCCCTGAGCATATACGCTGGTATGAATATTCGATTTATGTTTCGGCACAAGTTGAAGTTGATCCTCGCTCCCAGGACGCTCCAGCTCATCCCCCGACTGGGGTACACTAGGAGACCCGCCAAGCTCGCGAATGTCGTCCATTTCCCAGCTGATATTTGAAGGAAACTCGGTTTTGTTTTTCGTGCTCCTTGAGAACGGTGTGAGATTTGACAGCTTGGTCCCTTGTTCGCTAGGGTGGCTGCCGGAATATTCGAATTCGTGTCCTGTGATTCCTGCCGAGGCTTTGCCCGTCCCAAGTGATGTCCAGAACATGTTTGTGCGGGGGATTGTGGCTATCACGACGGAGGAGACGGTTACCATCCTGTCTCAGTATGTTAGATTATGAGGAACTAGAAGTGCAATCGCATATTTGGATGCTTACGTTAACCATATTATTCTTGGCTGAGAAGCATATGTCTGATCGTGATCTCCAAGTGATGCCGCTACTGATACGATTTCCCCAATGGACATGACTGGCACACTTTAGATATCAATCAGCATCGCGGCAATGTAGGAGGAGGACAAAAGACTCACAAAAGTCGGAGCGCGAACAAAATCATAACAGTCACTCTCGATTCGAACGGTGCCTTCAGCTTCCAGATCGAGGGTAGCATCCCCACAGATAGAATCACATCGGTGACAATGTTTAAAACAATAATCGGGTATTGAAGCTTTCCGCGCGTGGTACACTGCAAGGGTACATAGACCCAGGGCTTTGGAAGCCCGCACTGGAAAGCGAAAGCTAGGAACGAGAACACTCCCCACAAGCAACATGACCCCATCACAATATCCCAGGTTCTTGTGGTCGCTTGAGTTATTCGCCTCATGAGTAGAACTACCGAAACTTTAGCAAAAGTCATGCTTAGGATACTGAGTAAGTGAACGCAGTATATCCACTGTATTTGAAATGTCAGCCACGATAATTTACCTATTGCCATCACCAAATTGATGGCATGGAAGCCACATTGCTGACCTTATAAAATGAGTCTAGACTTTTCGGGCTAACTGCATCGATCCGTTTGCCCATCCCAGACACGACAGCATGATATACACATATTGCGCTCAAGTTTCCAAACACCTGGTTCAGCATATTAGAAACAACCAAGGAGGTCGTTGTTGTGGTTTAGGGAGAGCTTACTCCCGCAACATAGAAAGTTATGTCGTCTGACTGGAAGCCGAGATGTTGCTTCTTTGCAATAAAAGCTCGAATGCCGCATACGACACAAGAAACGATGATTGAATTTAGGACCACAACGACCGCAATTCCGCCTTGGTCATCAGTTGAGACTCGAAAGAAAGGTGGGGATTTTTCGTCCATGTTGGCGAGGAGCACAATACTCTGATAAGTGGAGGATCAGAAATATCAAAACAACTGACGACCACCATGCGTTTGGTTGTGGAGATGTCGATATAAGTAAGTGCTAAGTGAATGCTGAAGTCCAAGAAAACTTAAGGAGTTCTATAGATACCCCTGACAAACCTCAAAACCCATCTGTGATAATTAGCAAATTAGATCGGGCATTTTCTTCAGGTCTACATCCTTACACTCTGTGGGGTGCTTTGTTCCAAGATTCTGAAGATAACAATGGTTTGGCTCAATACTAGAATGATACAATAATCGTCACATACACTCCATGAAGGTCCTCTACCTGGTCTGCACTTGTCGTGATTGGCGAGTAATGGGGCCAAGTGATGCCCCTTTTGTACACAGCTCGGGCAATGTTTATTGATGCGTTCTCTGCGACCATTCCCGTATGATAAGAAATCACCTTCTTTCGATTGCAAATAACTGTGCCGGTTTTCTTCCTTTCTGAAAAGGAAGCAAAAAGGTTATATGGTACTGAACGATGCATGTATTCAGATCTGGCTCGATCCGCCATAATGTACCGGAGCTGGAACACTTCGCAGCCACTCGCTTAGTCGCGGATTTAGCTGAACGCATATTGTGTGTTTTGACTTCGAAGGAGCGGAATGATCTTGATGACTCCCAGCTTGGGCCACGGAAGACGGCAATGTTAGAGATAAGGGAATGGAGTAGTGCGACGGCACAGGAGATGGTGTAAATATTTGAGGCGTAAAGTCTTATTGGACGCTATGAACTTTAATGCGAAATTTGACTTTCAGGGCTGATAAGCGCAGAACTTCTAAAGGAGAATCTCTTCAACAATGTACTCCATCCTGCATTTCATGACCATACCATACTCGATATCTCGCCACCACGCTATTTCTTTTTGCATAGTCTCATCTAAATAACGTTATAAAGTTATAGAGTGCGGGAATTGCATTTTTATTTGATAACCATTGCAAAGATCCAGATAAGAGGAAATCACCGTGCAGTTTAACCGTGGGGGGGTAGACGCTATACTCCCGTACCTCCCCTGCGTACCTCCGTAGAGCGCTAGAAGTTTAGTTGGTCAAAGCGTATTCAGTCAAGCGCCGGATCGGGTTTTAGTAGATCCTATAGGTCGATTCAGTTGTTTATGGGTCGACTCTTACCAGGTAGACCCTCGTTTGGACTACTAACTGCTCTTTGGTCCTAGTTTCGTCTACTATATATGGGTCGTATATACGGATTCTTCCGGAACCCTAGGGAGTTACGGAGGTACAGCGGTGAAGTATTGACACAAAGCTAAAGAATACCCCCCTGTAGCGATCTGTATCTTAGCCTTTGTAGGTATTCTATCTGTTTCGATATGACCTTATACGGGCGACGCGTGCCTAAACAGGATAAGAGAAAGGGCTTTGCAAGGGTATATGCTTTTAGTACTTTTAGCTTTGTGTCAATACTTAACCGCTGTACCTCCGTATACGTAGAAAAAATAGTGCATAACTCGGTAGATCGACGATCTGGCATCCTAGCTTTAGCTTTCATCGTAACCTACCATTCTACCGGTATTTCACACCTAAGATGTTGTTTCTATGGTTTCACTTGAGACTTTATACATCAAATGATAAGATAGAGGTACTATAGGATAAGGTTCTTCAGTAGAATTCTCTACTCCGAGCAGCGAATTTTAGGAGCTCGCTGGAAGTGTAGTATGCCTTTGAATCGCCAAGGACGCTGTGCTTACGCTAAATCCTTTTAGCATTAGCTTTGAGAGCAAACTCTAACGTACATGGCCCTGCGGGGGATCTGCCGACTATACTTCGTACTATAGATTAATCATGTGCATTTGATAGCGGCGGGATATGATTCATGCAAAATAAAATATTTTTTTATAGTAAGCTAGGTATCTTTATATAAGAGCGGGTACAAATCCTAGAACTTCAGTATCTGAAAAGTAATGATTTTATTAGTTTTTTATAGAAAGATCTGCTTAGTAAGATTTTACTAGCAAGAGGCTTAATATCTTAATGGAATGCCTCTAAAAGATTTTCTTATCAGATGTATCCTTTGTTATTAAAATATAGTGTTGTTTGTTAGCGCATAATGTGTCTTTACATTGAAGCATCCAATCCTATAGCTATATTATTAAACCACCATTCAAGTTACGGTAGCGGGACGAAAGTAATCCCCTCTGGAGTTTTGGAAGTTGGAACCGATCGAAGAGCGGGATTGACACGGGACTTAGCTCACCCGATTATTTAGGGGATGAAAAGCAACGCGTACGCCTCCATGGCGGGCCGCGGGTAGTAGCTGAGTCTGTAGCATCGGTGTTGGTAGAAACCCTATTTTAAGATCCTCCGCAAAATTCAGCTTGATCAGGCAGGTTCGCCGAAAGTACTCTTTGATATACTTTTTTCTACTGCACGTTGAAACTCTATGAACTCTAATTCAACTAGCCTTATGCAATAAAGTTGAGCATAAAGTTGCAATTCGGATCGCGATAACCGAGTTAGTAGCCCCGTTGCCTGTGTCCGAGCTTGGGTCAGGCGATTGGAGTGAAGAGACGGAAAAGGATCCTTCATCTTCGGACTTATTAGCTATCTTCGCGTCCAACATACAATAGGTATCCTAGACCACGGACCCTCTAGTTATAAAGTCCTCCTGAGCGGCTCGGGATAAGACAAACCCCACATCCCGATTTTAGTGAACGCACCAGAGGAATCGCCTATATCTACCCACGTCAATCAATATGGGTTTTCCACGTTTCCTGGGGGGCTAGGATAGTGCTAAACCATGCACCACAACTTCTCTTTTATTCATCATAGCTTCCAATTCCTTTCCCTTGTGAGGTGCCATCTTCCATACTGAGTTGTTCCTTCCAAAGCACCCATGATCCATTTCGTGGATCTTGTACACAGCAGCAATAGACAACCTTGATATGATGAAAATGGAGGATGTGAATGTCCAAGTCCTGGACAAAAAAAACAATAGCACCGTTGAGAGACAAGATACACAGCCTAAAGCTTCTCATTCTGCAAAGTCCGACACTGTATTTGAGGTAAGCTTTCCTCTACCCACCAAGCTTTGATGGCATCCTAAAGTTTGATAGCGATATATCAACCCCACTGCTATTGTAAATTTTGGATTTACGCTGCAGGCCGCTTGGGAGTGCGACGCTGTATTATTCCAGATCAGTTTGCTTAATGGCGGTCCAGCATCGTTGGTTTATGGAAGTATCTTGGCGGGTCTAGGAACAACAGCAATTTCTACTTCACTAGCAGAATTGGCATCATTGTAAGCATTGCAATGTGTTTTGCATGTCTTTATCTTGACTGGGTATTAGGGATCCGATTGTGGGAGCGCAATATCGATGGGTAAGATCATTGAAAACCCTTTTGCCTCTCTTTTGTCATCAATCGACTTTTCACAAATACTACTTGGAAGCTTTCTCTCCAAGAATGCCTCATTATGATTGTAGTACTGCTACTTGCGAAGGATTTCCTACGAAAGACACAAAACTGACCTGATCTTCTTCTAGTCAGCCGCATTTGCACCATTCAGTCCCAAATTCTGGGGGCTGTTCCAAGGGTAAGGGTTGTCTAGTGTCAACTTGAAGGTTTCGAATGCTAACATGAAGTAGATGGATAACTGTCTGGGCATGGTTTGTTCCCCCCATCTTACTTTACGAGCGATAGTAAAAGAGCCATATGCCATTACTTTCCCCCTCTAGCTTTACCAAGCCATATAATAATGACTAGTCGAACAGGATAACGGTCACAGCGGCTAGTACGTCCTATTTGGCCAATGTTGTCATCGGCCTTGCAGTGTTTAACCACCCGAACTATGACCCCCAACGATGGCATACAACTATGTGCATGATTGCATTTACAATTGTACCCGTGATTGCCAACTTCTACCTTCGAAGCCTGTTAACTACCCTCGAGATGATTGGAGGTATTATTCATGTTATATTCTTCATTGTCACAATTGTCGTCATGGTGACGCTATCGGAACGCAGTACAACTGGATTTGTGTTCGGTAACCTTTGGACCGATATCAGCGGTTGGACAAACCCAGGTGTTGCTTTCAGCCTTGGACTTTTGACAGTAGCCTTCCCAATCACCTCTTTCGATGGAGTTTTGCACATGAGTAAGTCACCCTAGAAGTGTGATGAACCGCATTTTAACATCATTAGGGGACGAAGTGCAGGGCGCGAGAACTCGGGTACCTCGAAGCATGATCACAGCAGTGGTCTTGAACAGTTTTATGCAATTCGGCTTCTGTGTCGCCTTGATGTACTGTATTGGAGAAGTGGACAAGGTTACAAGCTCACCAACTGGACTTCCAATCATCGAAGTTCTTTTCGAATGTACGAAGTCTAAACCTGCGACGAATTTCCTGCTTGTTATGATAGCTTTCGTTCTCTTCGTCTCGCTCTTCAACATCCTCGCCTCTGCTGCTAGATTAACATGGGCGTTCGCTCGCGACAATGGTCTACCGTTCTCGAAGACATTCGCCTATGTCCATCCTACGTTAAAGATCCCCATCAATGCACTCCTACTAGTGGGCTTTATCATGTGCCTGCTGGCTCTCATCTATATTGGATCAATTACGGCTTTCAACGCTCTGATTTCCCTTCCTACGATTGCGTTATACATGTCGTACTTCATTCCTATCTTGTTTATCGTCATCAGGAAACTTCAGGGTCGGCATCCGAATTATGGGCCATTTAAACTTGGCCGTTGGGGACTTCCGATTAATATGTTCGCCATGACCTACATTCTTTACATGTTGACTTTCGTTGGCTTCCCGACAGAGGTGCCAGTGACAGCGGACAATATGAATTACGCCGGCCCGCTGGTGATTGCACTTATCCTACTAGCAGTTGGTGACTTTTTCGTTACGGGGAGGAAGCGCTTCGTAGTTCCTACTGCGCCGTCGGCGAGGGACGACGATTAGGCATATGAGGATGTATATACAATCCGCTATTTAGTTTCCGAATCTCAGTTGGCTTTTCAAAACTAGGGGTTCATTATTGGAACAGTGATTTCATTGCATTAGTCAGGAGTTTTAATAAGATATCCAGCTGTAGCTAAAAGTCTGCCACGAAAAACAAAAAAATGGATTATAAAGCCAGTCCTTCATCTGTCGAAAGGATTCCTGCTTCGGCATACAAGCTCTCTGGAATTCGATTGACTCCCTGAAATTCTGAGATCCCTATCCGTTCAGCTCTACAGGCTGAGGTCTACGGAGTCCTTGGACCTTAGTACCTCTGTAGCTTCTAGACCAAACGACGGCGCCCCTTCAGTGATCCTTTGAACCGTCGATGATTAGTTGAAACAACTAGACCAAAACTTCCGAAAATGCACGAAATTCCACCCAATCCCCAGAATTGGGATTTTTCGTCCAATAGTAACTTAAAAGAGCCCAAAATTACCACAGCCTTAAACTGTTTTACCACTCTAGAATCTAGATCTCATCCGGGGGAAAAGGGGAGCTCGAATATCTGGGATTTCCCGTGCCAGGGTCAGGTGAGGGAGCACTATAGTACTTTAGTAGTGCGCGATCAAAGCACATGTAGAGCGCTAGGTACAGTAAATTAGAATCAGACACTAATAATACTAGTAATCCCTCCCGGAGACGCCCTGAGGAAGCACCCTGAAGCGTAAAGAGTCTCGAACTGTCGTCTATACAATGGATCCGATCCGCCCGCGGTCTGCGCTGTACATGTACTAGCTAGATACAGTACCATCCCACTTACAACCGTGCGCGCTACCAAGCCAGTCCCCACCGAGTGATAAGAGCGCTCCGTACGAAAGCAGGCCTGTGGCCCCGTCCCGTAATTGGCAAATGGTAAATAAATTAATTACCTTGTTCACAAAAGTTCGACGGGTCACGGTAAGATCGGCAAGGAAGATCTTACAAGGAATGTTATCGCTGAGAACCATCATATCACCAGAACATGCTGATTGAAGAACGATTACGAGCGGGCTGGGCCTCTACGACCTGGGCTCAATCTACTGCTTATGTCGTTTTCGCATTCGTGATTTATGTAAGCTCTGACACATCTCTAAAAGCATAGAAACTGATTTGAAGCCCAGTTGATTGTAGTATTTACCTACCGCTTGACTTTACATCCTCTTGCCAAGTATCCAGGACCATTCTTTGCACGCATCACCGACTGGCCGCTGGTAGCCCATTGTATCAAAGGCGATAGGCATCTCTGGGAGTTCAAGAACCACCAGAAATATGGTAAAGTCCCCCGATCTACCCCAACAAGCTTCTTTCTGAAGCCTAAGAACACTTGCTGACCTTTTTCAGGACCAATTGTCCGTTATGGCGCAAACTCCATCTCCATCTCCACCCCAAGCTCCATCCCTCTCATCCATGGCCCGAAAGCCAATGTCAAGAAAGGAGCCTGGTATAAGACCCTCGACATCAGCGCTGGCGCTCCTTCAGTGCAAATGGAAATCGACAAGCACCAGCATGCCATGCGTAGACGATTTCTCGCCCCCGCGTTCAGCGAACGTGCATTGAAAGAAGCAGAGAAACTCATCACCATTACCGCGAAAAAGTTGTCGACGGGTTTAAGTCAAGGAGGAGAGAAAGACTGGTCGCAACCGAAGAACTTCAGCGATTGGGCGACCTTCTTTGGATTCGATTTCATCATTGACCTGGGATACGGGAAGAGTTTAGAGATGCTGGACAAAGAAGACAACAGATGGGTGCCAGATACCCTTAAATCTGCTTCTGTCTTCCTCTACTACTCCGGCTACCTCCCGTTCATCGAAGTCGTGCGTCCACTCATGGGAACAAGCGTGCAAGACTACATCGGTGGCAAAACAGCCGCCGATTCCCTCAAATTCACCAACCTGGCGAACTCGAGGCTGGCAGATCGCATGGAGGAGGAGAGGATAAAAGCGCAGGCGGACGCGCAGCAGAAAGAGAATGAGCGGAAGGACACGTTCCACTACCTACTCAACAGCAAAGATGCCGTAACCGGGAAGTCCTTCACAACCCAGCAACTGCAAGCAGACTCGGCCCTCATCATCGCCGCAGGCAGCGACGGCGTAGGCCTCACAATCGGCGCCTGCATGTTCTACTTGCTCACCAACCCCGCAGTGCTGGCACGGCTCACCGAAGAAATCCGCGGGAACTTCAGCTCGCTTGACGAGATCAAGAATCCAAAGCTAGGCGGCCTACCGTATCTGCACGCCTGCATTGAAGAAACTCTGCGAATGAACCCCCCAAGCCCAGCTCCCTACCCCGCGAGGTACTGAAAGGGGGGTTGAACCTCGACGACCACTTCATCCCGCAAGGCATCACGGTCGGCTCACCAATCTACGTGATCCACCACGACCCAATCGTCTTCCCGGACCCGTGGTCCTTTCGCCCCGAACGCTGGATTGCCTCCTCCAGGGGCAACTCCCCCGAAATGGTATCAGCTGTCAAAGCCACCTCGATACCGTTCTTGATTGGCCCGCTGAACTGTATCGGGAAGAACATGTCGTATATTGCACTCAAGCTGGCACTTGCCTACATTCTGTTCGAGAACGATTTGAGGATTAGTGGGGAGTTGACCGGAGGTGGGAGTCCGCTGCAGGCGGTGGAGGAGAGGAGAAGGGTGGGCGAGTATCAGATGGAGGATTGGATTTTGGGGTTCAGGGATGGGCCGATGGTTGAGGTCAAGGTTCGGTCTTGAGTGGGGGAATATCAGAATACACGGGTGACTGATTGCCTTCGACGTGAAAAATAAGATAGGGCCTTTACATAACACTTAATGTTGCATCGTTATCTGGTCGTTTTTGGTGCTACCGCCGGGCAGCTAGAACAGAGATGGTTACCCTTGCTATTCGTCTTTCACGACGAATCCTTTCTCTATAACTACGCCCCCTCTTGAGGTTCAAGTTCATAAGCTGGGGAATAGGAAATGAACCCGCTTCCCGCTCCTTAGTCCTACCGTGCCAAGGGTAACCCAGAGAGAAGGCAGAAGTTTCTCGGGGGCCACGCTGACAGTCAAAGCAAAATTTAGAGTTTGACTAACTCATCCTACAGTAGCATCAGGCGATGTGGCCGCGCAATGTGGCATGTTTCGACCAAGATCGAGATTTGATATCAAAAGTTTGAGCCGTTGTATCTTTGTGTGATAGGTCTCAGGAGGGCTCATACGCTTTGTGCCTGGTCTCGAACTCGTGGTGCCCCGCTGGTAGTCGATATAGGAACTGTATGCAACGAAGACAACATGCCGACCTCGACGTGGTATTATAGATCCATAGCTGCCCGCGCGCACAGTATGCCATTTGTCTCGATTTTGGCTTAATGCTTCAGTACCCCAAGTCCGTAAAAACATGCCCAATCTTGCGGTTGCGTTGCTTTGCTTTAGAAACTCGACGTCAGGAAATGCGTCGCGTAAATTTTGCAGTGCTATAAACTTCCTTGTCTTGTAGTCTGGACGAAGTTGTTGAGGTCTGTAAAAGATTCGCGAACATGTTTTTTTTTGAGCTTTGAAATCCTGCTCTTATAGATATCTCCATCAAGGACCAAGTGAGTGCGAGATGTGTGGCTTTGAGGGTGTAAGTTGATTCCTTGAATTTGGATCGTCTTCGCATATTCCTCCGACGAGCAATCATTGATCGCGTTTCTAGGTTCGGCTCGCCAGAGACATGCTTCAGAGTTCGTAGCAATGCTGCCTGCTTTTGGTCGTCGTCTAGCGTAATTTCGACTGCCTCTTGCGCAGGTCGTACAGCTTCTTCGAGATCAGCGGTGCTCTTGGTCGTTAAATATCTCTTGTGAATATAGGAACAAAGATTGAACAATCGTGTTGGCCGGCGCGAATGATTGTGTGGGACTGCACCCAAGAGCTTCTTGTATGAGTGAGATGGCGTCTTGAAGATCGGCTCACGCCACCGTTCTTGAAAATATGTCAGCTAGATAATCTTCAACAGCTCTTAGTGTTTGCCCTTTGTCATGATCTGCTGGAGTTGATGCGAAAGCTTCTTGGGTAACTTGCATTGTCCCGTCGAGGTTGGCGCTTATGCCGGTTCTGGAATATTGCATGGCAAGGCGCGCCTCGAGTTGCTTAAGCAGTGTATCCCGGTCGGGATTGGAGTTGTGAGTGGTATGAACCAATGCTTCTCGCAGGATACGGGTTGCTTCTTCCAATCCGGGTGTTGCGGAAGCTCCTAATCAGCATTTCAGAGTCAATATTGATATTTCTACGATTTCTTTGGAGCAACGGAATACATTCTAGAAGTAGGTTTTAAGAATAGACACACTTACATACGGAGCATATAGATATCTTCCCACTTTAGAAACCCCAAGAAGGGAAAGAACATGGCCCGGAAAGGCGTACATGCCAGTCGGAATTAGTGGCCTGAACCATATTTCTCCAATGCTAGTAGCCTCTCGTAGAGCCTCAACACCCCGTTCGGCGTCCGTGATAGCACGTGTCTTTCAGTACCTTCTCATAAGATACTGTCCAAGATGTGTCAATGGCCCTAGTCACTTTGGAATACCCCCCTACCCCCCACCCCCCAAATTTCAGAGCCACCGCTGCCTCGCATTGAAAATTTGATGGCGTGCTCAAGCCTAGTGATGCGTTACCCATCTTCCACAGCCGATATATCTACAGCCTTAAGAACCGCCTTTTCCATAGCCGCAAAGCTCTGTTGATGCCGTCCCTCGTTCGCATGTTGGCGTCGATGTTGACTAGCGCCTCGGATTCCTTAGCGTCGAGCCCGATTTTTATATCTTTTCTTAGCGCTACGACGTGCAACAAAAAGATTTAGGGGTTGGTTCTGTATTGGGTTGGCGGTGGTGGAAAGGGACAGGCAGAGGGAAGTAGAACCGGAGGCGGGATTTTGCTGGTTTAGCCGAGATATTCAATGGAAATGGAGGTACTGTAAGTAGTGACCTGAGCTCACTTGTGAAGTTTGTGGGAGTAGATGAGTGTGTTTTGTTGCTTTGATAGTTATGATGAAGGGAGGCGCTAGTGTTGTATCCATGTGCAGATCATTAGGTACCAGTAAGGGCCACAGGCCAAGCCATACTCCGTACACCTCGAGCTCGTACTTCGTCTGCATCTCAGATTCTCAATCCACTCATAGCTACAGTAAAATACTACGAAGTAGGTCCCTTCGGGGTATTTGCCAGTTTAAAAATTCGGACTCAGGTGATGTCCTTCAGCGTGCTCATCTAACTCATCTGATACAACGCCCCTTCGCCTCCAGGCTTGTCAAGACAAAGATCTACAGCCTCAAACCCACGACGTCTCCAAATCATCCAAACATATGGGCGGTAAGCATCAGATCTAATCTCATTAGCCAATGCAACCTAATTATATAAGTTTGTCTCTTTCCCACATTTTAGAATTCTTGGTACACCACCACCACTTTCGCCTTCTGTTTTTTTCAACTTGATTCTCTCATTATTCACAGCTGGGCTGTTACATTCGTTCTGCACTTTCAAAAAGACAAAACTTATCTGTTTTAATATCCATCTGTCATTTTCTCCCAGTTCGTCGTCAAAGTCAAGACAGAACCCACGACACCATGCATTTCTCAGCACCACTTGCAATTTTCCTCTCCCTCACAGGCGCTCTGGCTCTACCTACAAAACGTGCTGCAGCAACCTCGGCCGCTGTTCTGACAGTGCAAACCTACAATGATTTCTCCGTGTCTTCAGGAGTATCAGGAAACGCCCTCGCAGAAGTCAACGCCAAGTTCCCCGTACGTCCCCACCCCCTCATCCCTCTCTTCCCCCCACTAATCACGTCCCAGATCGACCAAACCAATTTCGCTGGCGTAGCAGCATCCGACCTTGCCATCATCTCCTCCGCCGCGCAATTGAGCGAGCAGGCCGAGACCGCCACGGGTGGCTTCAACACCGCCGTCGCGGCAGCAAGCGGCACTGCCGCAACAGCGCTGCAGAATGGCAAGATAAAGAACAAGGTGCTGAAGTTGCAGACGGATGTCATGAGGATTCAGATCGAGGTTGCGCAGGGGAATACGGCGTCTCAGAGTGAGCTTGCGGCGCAACAGGCCAAGCTGGCGACTAATGTTGCGTTGGATAAGGCCGCGGCGGGGCAGGCGGCTACGGCTGTTAGCTTTGCTGGGAGTGATTAGTGGTGTATAGAAGAAGGAGGCCGGGGTTGGGAAGGAAAAGAAAGGAGGATAGAGATGGAGGTGTGAGGAGATTAACATACATAATGTCATATGACCGAGTCTCATCTCGACTGATCTTGATAACTGTATATTCGAGCACAGATAGCAATTAATTGGAAATTCTTAGCTGTCTTTGGAGATACGAAAGAGGAAGTCAGATACTGCAATGTTCCTGACATTTAGGCACTTCTCTATGGATAAAATGACATGCTGGAAATCTTCAGGTCTCTCTTGTTCATGACCACGCTGCAGACCCCGTAATCCTAGAGGGATGGAAGTACTACAACTGCCCCATCTTCGCCTACTGATACGTACTTAGTATCAAAGCTCAGCTTTGCGACCAAGTTTGAAAGCTTTCGCGAGGTCTAGTTGACGACTGAGGAGAATCTGGTCTGGTGTGATTGCAGTCCAGTCACGAATCTAGGAAAAGAGTTGACTAGTGGCAGAAGTTGATAGCTTCATAGGCACTAAACAAAGACCCATTAAGTGAGTCTTGTTTCACTTACTTGCGATGATGTCTTGAAGCTCTTGAGGTAAACTGTACATGGAACAGTACTTCGAGGAACATTTGAATTATCCGGCTTCGTTTGACTCATTGTAATCTGTATCAGCGTGTTCGAAAGGAAGAACACAATCGTGTGATAGAACGCAAATGACTGGATATCAATATAGCATCCTGAGGATGAGCTTTGGTGCGAGGAAGTTAAGAAAGTAAAGAGACTAAAAATATACATAAAACCTCTCTCTTCTGACAAACACGTGACCAACAGCGTCCCAATTCCGCAAGACAACTGGTTCTCTAATTCTGGAGTAGCTACTACTGTTTCTTCTCTCCCTCTTTATGCAAAACATATACCGTGGAGATTCGCAGAGGTATTCCTCGACGCCAGGACTTCATTCATGCCCGTGCAGTAGCTGGAGCCCGTAATATACGGCACGTTTTCAGTAAATTCGAATCTCCGAAGATGATCACACACCAATTCCGGAATGCGGCGAGCTCGAGGCACCAATGTCAACCTTCCGATACTGGTATCGACGAGTACGATTCGTCATACTCGGGCTCATTATGTGCTGTAAATTTGGAGGGATTTTATGAAGTGGCAGAAGTTTATTCGTGCAGCAAGAACGAAGCGTTATATGCGCTGTCCCCGTACGCCTAATGCACGAACATTGGCTATTGGCCATTGGATACAGTAATAGGTAGGAGATCCCCTGCACGCATAGTAGGAGACAGCCAAACAGGAGAGGGTCAGGTGGGGTGATTCGAGATTTGGGTGTCCCGAAAAGAGAGTGAGAGTGCCGTGCCAACGAAGGATGTGCGGTGTGAATGGGGCGGAACAACCGTCGGGCCGGGATTTATATCACCCACCAGAGCTCTTTTCACCGTAGTTTCCGCAAAGATGAATATAACACGGTAAATTACCTATTTCTGCAGGGTGCACTACCAATAAAATATATCAATCTGGTAATTCACAATCTCATGGTGTGGTAGGTGCACGCAATCCCGTAAGTAAATAGCGGCAGCAGAGTTTTTGCTTGCCGCCTTCTTCTCCTCTTCCTCACGTCTTCTCCCTCCTCCAACTCCATCCACTACGGATGTCTCCATTTCTCACATTTTTCTACAACCTTTTCGCAGCAATCATGGCACCATCTCTCTTCAGCTGGGGCTCCAGCAAGCCCGCCGAAATCGCCGCAGCACCTAAACTGTCCACCGAAGAACAGGAGACCCATGATACCCAAGAACGAGAAGCCTTCCAGAAGGCTGTCCGAGAAGCCATGAACAACGAAGACTTCACGAAAGCCGTAGCCAGCCAGCTTGCGCTGCAGCTCCAGCCTACACTGAAGGCTGCTTCGGAAACTTCGGCTCTGGTGCTCGAGTCCAAGATCCTGGCCTCCAACGACAAGCTCTCCAAGACTGTCACCGAAAGCGATACGCAAACAGCTTCCAAGCTGTCCGAGCTATCTTCCTCCCTCGATACAAGCAGTACTGCGGCCGTGGCCAAGATATCTGCTCTCGAGGACGCTGTTGCACAGATCTCGGCCTCCGTCTCGGAGCTGACGAGCACTGTGAAGGCTGTCCAAGAAAAGGTTGCGTCCCTCGATACCTCAACACTCTCCTCCCACAGCGCAAGCCTAGACACCATCTCCAGCAACCTCCAGACTCTGCAAGAAAACGGACCAGCACCTATATCCGCAGCCCTCGGTTCTCACGCCACAAAGCTCGATTCCATCACCGCCGATTTGGCAGCTGTGAAGGAGAACTCCGAGGTCTCTGCATCGCTGAAGACCCTGGCTACCGACCTCGCAGCTATCAAGAAGGATATCGAGTCCTCCACCTCTTCTACTACCTCTGGTTTCTCTGGTGTATCCTCCCAAATCGGAAGTGCCATTGCAGCTATCGAGGCACAAAATGGCACTCTTGCAGATATCAAGAGTGCGGATGCTAGCAAGGAGATTCTGGCTGCTACCCAGACCCATTATTCTGCTCTGTCTGAGATTAAGTCTATTGGTAAGTTCAACCTCTCACAATTCCCAAGATGTGTTTCCAAATGCTAACCAGCTGGTTTGCAGTCGAAACTCCAGCCCCAGCTCCTGTCTCCGAAAAGACAGACCTTTCTTCCGTCGAATCCTCCCTCAGCTCCATCATCACGGCTATCGAAGCACAAAACCCTACGCTCTCTGAGATCAAGACCGCAGCTACATCTACTGAAGTCTTGACTGAAGTCAAGTCCGTGAAGGCACTCGTGGAAGGCATTCCCGCACCAATAGCTGGCAAGGACGAAGACATTCTGTCTGAGCTTAAGAGTGTAAAGACTATTGTCGAGGGTATCCCAGCACCAACTGCCAGCAAAGACGAGGAGATCCTATCCGAGGTCACCTCCGTAAAAGCCCTTATCTCAGCCATCCCCGTACCTGCGGCAGGAAAAGATGAGGAAATCCTCAGCGAAATTAAATCTGTCCAATCTTCAATCTCCTCCATCCCTGCCCCAGTCACAGTCAAGGACGAGGAGATTTTGTCCGAGATCAAGAGTGTAAAGAGCCTTGTGGAAGGCATTCCCGCACCAGTCGCTGGTAAGGATGAGGAAATCCTTAGCGAAGTTAGCTCTGTGAAAGCTCTCGTCTCAGCTATTCCAGCACCCACTGCCGGCAAGGACGACGAAATCCTCACAGAAGTCAAGTCCGTCCAATCCTTGATTTCCGCCATCCCAGCACCAACCGCTGGCAAAGATGACGAAATCCTCACTGAGGTGAAGTCTGTCCAGTCCCTGATTTCAGCCATCCCAGCACCAGCCACCAGCAAAGACGAAGAGATCCTCAGTGAAGTCACCTCTGTAAAATCTCTCATCTCCGCCATCCCAGCACCAGCAGCCGGCAAAGACGACGAGATCCTGAGCGAGGTAAAGGCCGTTAAGGAGTTAGTTGAGAAGAAGGAGAGTGCGGAGGTTGCTGCATAGGCTACCAGTGTTGGATTATATTTAACGAAAACGGACGGGATGTGATGTGATGTGGTAATGAATGATAGATAAGGGAGGAGAGGAGAGGGGAAGTTATGCTATGTTGTGCATGTGTTGATTGGATAGAGAGAGAGATTTTATGCCTTTTCGCGTCCTTGCGCTTTATACCCTTTGATTCAGGCTTGCTTGTTGGGCTATGATTGACGGCTGTTGCGCGTGGGCTAATCTTAATTGGTTAGTGAGTTTGTATATTGAGGGTTCAATAGAATGAAATGTAATTTTCGTTCCCTTCATATGAGGTTTCTGCATTTGATATGAGTGCTGTGTGATGTGAGGTGATGTGATGTGAGGATTGCGTTTTGTAAGGGTTATTTTTCGTGTCAAGACATATTGTGGCGCTAGGTTCTCGAGTGTCCTAGATAGAAATCCAAGTAAGGGACGAAGATTTCCTCATTGGATTAGGAATATGAGGGAGGCATGGGAAGGGTGTGGTCGGTTGTCATTTCTAGAGATGGTCTTAGAAGAGCCTCGTTATGTGATGGATATATATACTAGGTAATGAATGATAATATATGTAAGTATAGTACCGAAAAGTCGATTCGTGAGCAGAAGGCTGCATACCATCCCATAGCAGCAACTCTCACTAGAAGTCCATTGCTGGATATGGGATGAGTTCCCCACATACCTAACCTGCGAATATTCATGTTTATAATTCAGGCCCTCGTGTGTAGCATACATGTGCGTATAGGCAGTCGCCTTTGCCGTTATCTAGGGGTGATGTTCGTCGTCGAGCCATGTTCATCTGCTGATTCCTCTACTGGAAAAACCCACCCCCTTCTCTCCTCAAACACTTGATCGGACATGCGGATGCGGATGTAGACTTCATCGAGCGAAGTTGAAACGATCAATGTATAGCAAAGCTTGATTCAAGCCTGGTGTGCCAATACATGGCATTCGACATTGAGCTGGCGTGGTCGTCGTGGCAAGGGCTGCGCCTGTGGGTTGTGATACAAGCAACAAGTCAAGTCAAGTCAAGTCAAGTCGCCTTGCAGAAAGCCTGCGGGTAGGTGCATCCCTGTCTTGTGCTTCTCAAGTTTTTCATCATCTTTGTTTTCTGTCTTTACTGTAGAATGAAATCTTCACAAGCGCAAGCACAATGACGAATCCAGCCAACATAATTGGCAACTCATTTCACAAGCTCAGGAGATCAATATACAAGAGTGATGCGCACGACTGGGCTTCTATTGAACTCAAGGACGTGTGGGCGGAAATTTGTAAGATTCAACACGACATTATACAGAAACAGAAACACCTAGCTGGTCTAGTTAGACAGAGCGAGAGGAGTGTGAGAACTACGCAGCTGAGACATTCGATTGAGTGGCTAGCTGTGGATGACAATACCCAAGAGGAAAACTTTGCGCGACTTTTTCCTCGAAGACATAACGAGACTTGCCAGTGTATCACGCTCCTGTACTCGTATTTTGACATGTCTTTGATACTGTTGGTGATAAGCCCCAACTCGTAATTTGGTCTACTTTTCTGCCGTGGTTTGCGAATTGCTATGCCTCTCGGAAACTTTGCAAAAGAAGCTCTGCTGCTTGACAAACCAAACGTTTCGCGTCTTGAGGTCGGCATCGGGATTGACGAGCTCAAAATCGAACTCCTGAACAAGCGTTGGGATGACCTTGCCGACCTCCATAAGACTGATATTCTTACCGATGCAAGTGCGGGAACCCATTCCGAACTGTATAGAGGTTTCTTAGAAGCAAGTCTTTTGGAGTGGATCTTTCAATTAGAGATAGTCAGAACTTACGGTAAAAAAATACCGGTCCATCCGGTTGTAGTTGTCTTTGTCCGTAAGCCACCGCTCCGGTCGGAAGAGCTCTGCATCATGCCCGAACACAGAAACGTTCATGTGTGCGACCCAAGTATTTATGCCCACAATTGCCTGCAAGGACAGTCAGAATACTTCTCTAGGGCTAAAAGTTTTGAAGAGAGAATATACCCCCTCCGGGAAGAAAGTTCCGGCAATAGTGGCTCCTCCTTTTGGTACGACACGCCCTAAGGGAAAGCCTGTAGCAGGATGGACACGTAACGCTTCCTTAATCACTGCTTGTAGATAAGGGCATGCCTGAGATTCCTTGAAAGTCACCGGGTTACTTAGTTCGCCATTTGCTTGCTTCTGCTCCAGCTCCTCCCGTAACTTCTGCAAGGCTTCCGGATGTTTACACAGATTATAGAGTACTGAGCTTAGACTGATGGACGTAGTATCCGACCCAGCACCAATGTTGGTGATGCATCCTGCAAAGAGGTCCTGGTCCGTGAAAGAGCTTGGATCCTTCTTGTGGAGGGCCAGGTATATGGAAAGGAAATCACCAGTCCCGTCCAACTCATGGGGGCTAGTCTCATCTTCTTTACGCTTGTCTATCTGCGCCTGCGTAAATTCAACCATGGAACCCCTTCCCTGGCGAGGGCTTAGTTTCTGCATCATGGAAGAGATAAATGGGTGCCATTCAGAGTAGACACCGACGTTGGCTGTGTAAGCAAGGTACGTATCTATAGCTGAGATAATCCCGCCGACATCCTTCCCTTCGTCAAGGAAGCCGAATCTTTTTCCAACCTAGTCAATATTAGCAATGGTTGTAACTAATGATTAGAAAAAGTTGGAGCGGTAGATTGGCCTACAGTTAGCTCTCCAACAACGTCAAAGGCGTAAAATTGCAGCCAGCGGGCCATATTCAACGTCTCATGAGTCTTTCCGAATTCTCGCAGTTTTTGAACGAAGACAGCAGAGCAGTCGTCCACGTACTTCTCCATGCGCAACAACGATGTCATTGAGTACGAGGACGCGACTTTGCGCCTCGTCGCTGCGTGGAAGGCTACATCTCGGGAACTGAACAGCGATGGAAAGTGAGGGTCGACCGGGCCGCTAGCATAATACCACGGTGACTGCAGGAGTCAGTCTCCCTGGAATGATGCTTAGGCCAAGCCTGATATCAGGTCGAGGTTGAAGACTTGCCTTGACGAACTGGCTTCCATGGCCGTAAATAACTTTCGCTGCCTCTGGGTCGTCGATGCTGAATTCATTATCGGCAATACGGACAATAGGACCTGCGCCGTATTAAAAACGTTACTGAGAATTCAATGCGAGAGATAGGTGCTTAGCGGAGACGCGTACCATATCTCTTGTGCAGGATAATATTGGTTTTCTCAAAGGAGGCTCTGCTGATCTCAAATAATTTCCATAGTCTTGAGAATTTGGCCCAAAATGGACCTGGTACATGTCGTAATGGCGTCCACCACGCCTTAACTACCAGGCGCCCCAGGAGTAGAAGGAGTGGGAAAAGAATAATCAACATTAGCTGAGGTGGCTTTGCAATTGCTGAAATTGAAGTCCATTGAGCAATATAAGTCATGACGGATAATTTTTCACTGTTGCTGATCTCTTGTTTTCGATATGTTATCAGTCATTGAATCTAGAATTGGTACTTGTATTTCAGATACTTGGATCTGCGTAGTGAAACCCCACCTTCTTGATCGTTACTCGAGTACCCCACATCATCGCAACCGCGCTGATTCTCACCTTTTCTACTATCCCTAGCCTTAACAATCTTGTAAAGCAGGGTTTTGATCAGATCTACCAATCAAGCAGTCAGATAATCCCTGACTTTGGTCTTAACAGGGAAACATGTAGACCAAAACCTTGGCTAAACCCTTGTTAAACCTTTGTAAAAAAGAACCCTGGTATACAAGATTATTATGTGGGGTATAGTAACAGAAACCCAATCCGGTTAGTACCCAAAACAACAGACTCCTTCAATCTCGAATTATACAGCTTCACTTTCTCATCCTGCGCAATAATATATATTTCATTAACAGGCATTCTTTCGAGGAGTTTTTTCAGTTGCTTATGAACTCAACGGGGTCTATAATCGGCGGATTGGAGTGGAATTTGGCCAGAATCCGACAAACCTTCCGTATCGTACATCGTATAAAATAACTCCATTTAGCGGGGTTGCGGGGAAGCGTTCAGCACCCCACACACATTATAGAGTATGTCTATGCGGGGGTCTTGGCAAATTTGCAGCAAACCAAGGGTGCGACATGATAGGCTAAGACGCGTGGACCTTTCTTGGGCACGTCTACAAGGGAACTGGTGCAAGATGGTCCGTCGTATAAGAGGCATCGCGAATCTGGATGCAATAGAGCTTCGATTCTGGCTCAGTATGTTTGATGCGGCGACTTGAATCTATGTGAGCCCAAAAGTGCACTATGGCGACTGTGACTGGTACGTTGGCGGCGGGGGAGAAAGTTACGCCAGCTATTTCTATCGATCTTCACTCTTCTCAGCTCCACCAGCCCTCTTGTGGCCGAAGGATGGAGACTCTGCTGAAGTGGGGCACGGCTCAGCTTCCTAATATCTCTTAATTGTTGGTCCCTGTGATCAATTGTGAATCGTCGTGAGCTGGCATACTGTCTGAAATACCCCTCGTCGTTATTTCCAATGGGCTCCTTTAACTACTTCATAACTCTTCAGAGTCGCCATTGATCGGTGAAGACCCGTCGACCGTGTGGAATGAACAGTTTCATCACCAAAATGAAGTCCCGAAGCCGCTTTCTTGCACCGTTGTCATTCTTGCCCTCTTGTCCGCTCGCAGGGGAATGGATCTAAAAAGCCCCAATGGAGAGACGGAAGAGACATTGCAGCGGATTTATCGAACTCGGCCTTCCTAATACGTATCCTTCCATTAATGACTTGAGCACCGGTGTATGTCTTCTGTCCTAGACTAAGTATATATTTCAAATGCTCTGCCATCGATGTTCTCTTTGGTAGTGTCTGCATCTTTTTGTTGCAGAGTGCATGCTGCATTGAACTTCGAACGGAGGGCATTGCGCCCCCCTGGAGTGAGCTTTTCCTTCTGCTCTCGTGCGGTGGGTCTGTTGCGCTGGTTGGGGTGTCTGTTTTGGGAATTAGTTTTCTGGGGTTGGAAGTTGAGACAACTTAATCGACCCCAATTCGAGGGTCAGAACACCACTACCTTGACTCTTTAGTCTATCCTCGAATCCTACAATTTATGTTGAGGGATTATTTACTCGCAGGATCTCAGCCAATATCTCAGCCTCTTGCTAAAAATGGACATTTGAATCATGTCTCGGATCCCAAAAGCAACAGTCATAGTGCTAACAGGCCCCAGAAAACACGTTTTGCGGCTCCCCTTTTCAATACGGCCCTTAGCATCTACTGTTTCTAGCTATGAGATGCAGCTTTCCTTCCTCCAAAAATCTGAAAAAGTCTGATATTAGGCCACAACGTCCAATTTGGTAGCGCCAAATCTCGCCCAATTTCTTGGAAGTACTGATTGAGAAAAATTTTCTGCGTTCGCTGTGTGACCTAAATCCTTTCAAAATTCTTCCCGCTGACATGCGTATTACCCCTTTCTGACTGCATTCGCTCTCGTGATATCGTATTTCTCATTTCTCTTATTTCGTCCTCCAAAAAGGATCACGATAAATAGTAACAATGGGGGTATTTGTTCAAACAAATTCTCATGACATTTCGTTAAGTGATAATGTATTTCCTTTCAAGTCTCCTGACCTACCTCCTATTTTCATCCATACCCTCCTTCGTCAACCCCTTCGCAATAAGACAAGACACCAACAACGATGGGGACAATACAGCCCGCACCCTAATAGGCGATCTTAAAACCGGCATCACAACCCCAGTCGGCCAATCCATAGCCAACATCCTCCTCGGCACCGAAGCCGCCCAATACCACCCCAACTCCACTACCACTTCCCCCGCACCCGCGCCTGGCACTTGCACCAAGTCCACAAACCCCTGCTGCATCTGGTACGAAATCTCTCACTCCCTCACGCGCGATTTCACCGGCCCAACAGGCCGGTGCAACGACATGGCGCGCGCGGCCATCCGCCTCGGTTTCCACGACGCTGGTACCTGGAGCCAGGCGCTCGCGGCTCAAGGCCAGGATTTCGGCGGCGCGGACGGCAGTTTTGTACTCTTTGGCGAAATTGAACGGCCCGAGAATAGGGGCCTGGAAAACGTAACGGCGTTTGCGAAATTGTATCATATGAGATTCCCGGTGGTGGGCATAGCGGATCTGGTGCAGTATATGGCTGTTCACGCTGTTGTGACATGTCCGTTGGGGCCGAGAATCAGGGCGTTTGTGGGGAGAAAGGTAAGTTTGAATGAATGATTTCTTTGTTGTGAGAGTATGTGGAGGAAAGGAAAGGAAAGGAAAGGAATGAGCAAGTGAAGTCTACTGATTCACGAGACTATAGGACGCAACGCGCGCCTCGCCCTCTAACCTCCTTCCCGACGTCTCCAGCCCCTCTTCCACCCTCCTCGCGCTCTTTGCCGACAAAACCATCACGCCCCACGACCTAACCGCCCTCCTCGGCGCACACTCCACATCCCGCCAATTCAAAACCTCCACCGCGCCAGCATCCAACATCGGACTTCCCCAAGACACCACGCCAGGCGTCTGGGACGTGCGTTTCTACAACGAGACGATACAGCCAGCTCCTGCTAAAGGGGTGTTTCGCTTTGATAGCGATGTGGTGATTTCGAGGGATAGTAGGTGTAATGATGAGTGGAATGCTTTTGTAGGCAATCAGAGCCATTGGAATGAGGATTATGCGGCGGCGTATGTGAGGCTGAGTCTCTTGGGCGTGAATAATATTAATCAATTGACGGAGTGCTCTGCTACGTTGCCCCGTGCTAGGACGGTGTTTCAAGGGAATGAGGCGCCTGGAATCTTCGAGCGTGGAAGTCGTTATCATTAATTTGGGTGAGGGGAGACTTTTGGTCTCTGGTGAGGTGTGTACGAATATGAGTAAATTTTGTTGATTTAGGTCGGTTGGCGTTCTCAGAGGGTTTGGATTCCAGCTAAGAAGCTTGGGATCTGGTGAATGATGTTTATTTCTCGTAGTGATCTACCGACAAGAGGAACTTGACGCATGTATATTTATCGTCTCTTTGCAATTTGGGCTCAGCCCACGTGATTTGATAGTTGCACACGGAGGACACCGACCCCTGATTTGAACCCTTTTTCATTGACATGACTTCTACACATTGCTGAACATTTCTATATGGTATAACCGTTAGCCCAAAACACCCCTGCCCAATGCCCCCAAACTAGTCTCATACCGCCCAGGACTATGATCCAACAACATGCTCCCTCCAAACCTCAACTCCCCAAACCTCTTCTCCACATCTCTCACATACCGCAACACAGCCCTAGTCGCCGGTGCCCCCAAACCCCCACTTCCCTCTCCCGCACCCCCTCTCACAAAAGCATCTCGCTTCAGCACCGGACAGCTCTCCACAACAAATACTTCTCCGGGCGGCACCAATTTCGCGCTCAACATCGCCGCCCGCAGCGTCTTCAGCGTAGCGTACGCCCATTCATCGTCATTTTCTTTCTCTATCCCCATTCCCTCCGGTTGTTTGTTTCCGGAATACCATTTATCCCGAAACGCCCCTGTCATGCCAGCCCAGACTCGGTTTCTGACCTCGCCTTTCGCGCCTGAGTCGTCAGTTTTGAAGGCTAGTGCACAGGCTTGTAGGTCGTGTAGGACGCCGAGGGAAAGATAGGGAACCAGGTCTTGATTATTGACAATGGTGGTTATAAGACCCCGCGTGGCGAGGCGGAGGGACGGGGAGAGGCATGCTGGAGGGCCGTAGGCATAGACGTGTATGGGGCGACCTGAAGGGAGGTGGATTGCTGAGGGCGCAGTGCCTTGCTTGCTTGTATCTGTGAGGAGAAGCTGTGGCGAAGATGAGTAGGATGAAGTGGATGTGAGGAATGCTGTCGATGAGGGGTCGGGAGACGGCTCAGAGATCATGATCGCGAGAAGTGCGGTGACTCCTCCACCGAGGGAGTGCCCGCACATTACAAGTCCGTAGTCGGGGAATTCTTCTAATGCTGCTGCGATGGTGGCTATTACTCGGCCGCCGCCACCATCTAGAAGACGGCGTGCTGAGGCGTGAATGCCTTTGTGGACGTTGTAGTCTCGTCCGCGCCAGGAAAGAGCATCATAATCACAGGTCATGTCTGCTAGAACATCTTCGAATCCCATTGTGCCTCGACAAGTCAGAATCACCGCTTTGGAGTCGTGATCTAATGAGACGAAGTGTACCATTGGTACACCGGTATTGGTATGCCCACTGGAATCTGTGCCACCCTGAGGATCGACGAAAGAGGAAAGAAGGATGGTGTCTGTCGGAAGTTGAGTGTGACTGGAAAAAGAATGATGCTCGTGATGGTGAGTCGTATCTATCTCTCTTGGACCAGCTGTAGAATTCGTAATTCCCATGACTCTTAAAAAGCTTGCACCGTAGGAAGCAGATGCAAAGCGTACAAATCTGGTAATATTTCGAACAATATGGTGCTGTGGAAACAGACCATCAACGGAACCTGTTCTCGCTAAGTTTTCCAGGGTTTCCGAATCTGCAAAGGCACTTCTTCTTGGATGAGATGCAAGAACAAGCGATGTGGCAGAGTTATTCGTCTTAAGTGTATATATACTTGGAACATGACTTTTAGACCTCCGATGATATGATCTAGGCCGTTGTTCAGCCGATAATTGAGACGGCACAATATTCTTTTCCGACCTGGTTCTTAGTACATTACTTTGAGCTCGAAGATGCGTCCTAAACGCCGTTGGTGATCCTGGCCGCGTGTCGGCTGAATGAATTGAATACGTATCGGTTTGCGACACTAGCGAGTCTCTGCGGTGTTCATGGATGGAGTAATAGCTCGCCCTAGAGGGGCTCCTTGGAGCATCGCTTTGTAAACCGAGGTCTCGAGATGAGAAATAGTTCGGATTGCCTCGTTGTGGGGGGCGGGGTGCATCACGAGCTGGAACGATGCTTGAATTGCGTTGTGGAATGGGTAAACTGGATTTCGGGGATGATGCAGCTGCATTGGACACTCCCCACGGAGGCTTTTGGCTGGGTTTGCTACGCGTGCTAGCTTCGGGAGCTGAATGGTCCTTGGTCCATAAGTTTGAGAGAGTACTTCCAGACCCTTTCTTTAGAGCCTGTCGGAATGAACCTTTCTTCTCGGACGATTTTGCTGGTGGTCGTGTCGAATCCGACTTCTGCACAGTGGGAGACTTCGTAGTTGCAGGTCTCTTGGGAGGCGGAATATCCGAACCACTGATTGACGAAGAGGCACTCATTGGTTTTCTGGAGCGCTTTTGGTTGGCCAGATTCTCAGTGCTTTTGCGGACTGGTATGGCTGACATCCTCGTGGCTTTGTCTTCGGTTTTTGGGGGCGGTGGAGGGTTTGGAAGATTCTTTGAGGTACTGGTCCTAGAAGGACGCCTTGATAACTCTGGAAGACCCTCTGAATCAGAGGAAAGTGGAGATACCGAGAATCCCGGGCTTTCAAGTTCCTTTGGAGGAACTTCTGGCGTTTCCACATCATCCTCAATTGCGTCCTCAATTAAACCTCTCGCTTCAACATTTATGTCTCGGAGTTTGTTCCGAACCGTTCGATACACGACTCGATATTTTGGGATCGAAAGACCAACTTTTGGTTCATTCGTCAGAACCCCACCATCAAAATCAACACCTCCCATGTGATGTGCATTCTCTTCCACAATTTCAACACCAGGGGGCGGAGATAGATCTAGAGGCTGGGCACTTGTGATCTCAACCGTAATTGTTTTCGTGGTGGTAGTCGAAGTGGTAATAGAAGCAGATGCATCTGCTGGTAGTGACTGCATGATCTTCTGTTTGAGATTGAATTCTGCCATATCTTCATCCGACTCATCCGTAGCCACTCCTCCCTGCTCGATTGCTCCTAATACGACATCACCACCAGTGGTCACGAAAGACACCGAATCTGGCCGTGTCAGACCCTCTCCAGAACTCTTTCTCTCTAAATTCCCCGCAACATCCGCTCTCCGACCATCATTGAGAATGACCACATCCCAAATAACTTCCTCGAACCTGCCTTCTCGACATTCTGCATCCGTCAACCCCCTACACCACCTCTGCAGCAGTGCCAAACCACAGATACCCAATAAAAGATCTGACACGGTCACTTTCTCCCCCTCCCTTCCAGTCGCCGGATTTTGAAATTCCCTCCTTATCAGAGTTACGATACTTGCAATTGCCCTGCTTGAGTCCGTACTCCCCAATATGCTGTCCAACGTAGCAAGTAGCTGTTGGCTCAAATCCGTGGCAGAATTCAGCGCCGCAGCACTGCAATAAAAGCCCGCACTTGCCACAAAAGATATATTTGTAATAGTCCTATGCAGCGTCGCAACACTTTTCTCCAAGATGCCCTCTGCCTCGGCCCTGCCTATCGCGCCCGTACTTCTTTCTGCGACATCGCGTCCAGACCGTATGAGGATGGATTCGATGAGCGCTCGGCTTAGTTCGAGGCCGGTGAGGGTTGTAACTCTTGCTCCGTCCAGCGCCAAACCGCCTATTAATGTGCCGAGTCGGAGGTAGAGGGAGCTGGATCTAGTTACCAGGCTTACAGCGTTCGCGATAGATGAGGGGAGGAGGGTCGAGGCAGAGGTTGAGGTAGAGGTAGAGGTCTGTTGGGCTACAAGAGCCTTTTGGGTTTCTTCTTCATCCTGGTCCATATTTGCTCTTTGTACGGATATTGGGTTCGTTGTATGCTTCTGCAGCGTAGAATTGATGTTCCATTCGGCTTGTATGGGTTGTGGACGTAGTAGGTAGAGATGGGTATATGGACAAAGACATAGACACGGGCATAGTAGGATGTGGCACTAGGGTTAGATGTCTGTTTTGTTGAGGCATGAGCATTATCTGGTGTTGATGTGGTATGTTATTGGATGTTTGACGTGTCGCGCGTCATGTCAAAGAAGCCTCGGCATGTGATAATGGCAGAGCCTCAAAATCTCCAAGAATTCGTTTTATTTAGCCATTGAACTTTACGAGACAATAAAGAACGGTTTACAGTAATTTCGTATATACAAACCACCAAACGCTTAAAACATTCATATTTTCCTAGCTATAATAGCATTAACAGCAGATACAGTAAGGATTCAGGGGTATTATTAACCGAATCTACCGGGTGATGAAGGAAATAATCGCCAACTCGTGCCCGATTTACAGTCATTGACGATGGTTTTGTATTAAATGGCTGTATGAAGTATATGAAGTTCCTACCTAGGTAAAGATGTAGTTGTTGGGTTCAAGAGAAAGTCATCACGTGAGCCACTGTGCCTCCTGCCCGCGTAAGTGAGCTTTTACTTGGTTACCTAGGCTCGCTAGGTCTAGGTACGCTACTTATATCGACGTGCAATGTTCACATCATTACTATAAATCATGGCTGACGGCGATAATGTACACGAGGCTTTGAACAACACCTTAGTTTCAGAAAATGTTCCTACAAAAGAAAATGACTGTGGAGAAAAGGAAGCGCCCTTCTTCGAGTACTCGCCTCTCAACATTGATACACAGGAGATGCGATTCCTGATCCTTAAACCTCATCACGGAAACACGAAAAGTCCCCTTGATTGCTCAATTTCGTCCGAACAACTCTCAAAATGCAAACCTTACACATACGTTATCAATACACGAGGTAATCCTCTTTCAACATTGGGACTTTTCATCGATGGCCACGCGAAACCCGTCACTAGGAATATTGTCATTTTTCTCGACCATATTCAGTCAAAAAATGATGCCGAGCGACTATGGTTCAGGGACGTTTGCTTGAATCATCAAGATCCGGAAGAAAAAGATCGATACTGGAATCAAGAATGGATGGACACGATGATCCAGCACGCAGAGAAAGTCATCGATCTTAGTGAAGTGATAGCTGGGCTTTGGGACAAAGGGGAACTCCCAAGACCATTTCCTCCAAAACCAAAAGACTGGAACAGAACAAGGGAGCCCAAGGGAACAAACCATCATCCTGTACCACTTCACATGCAAAAAGGCTGGGTTGAACCTCCTCCACCTCATGAGTATCTGCCTTTAGACTACGTTTGTGATGAATTCCGTCTCGTTACACTGTGGAAAGCAGACAACTATAACGATCCGCTGAGAGCTTCATTAGCATACTCAGTGATGCACAGCAATGTTACCTACCATTGCTTGTCATATAATTGGGGTCCTGGCGACGAGAAACCAACCTGTACGATCCTTCTTAATGGGCAGACGTTCATGATCCGTGAGAATCTAGATAGGGCTCTCCGAGAAATCCGGGACAACGTATACATGGTTGTTATCTGGATTGATGCAATCTGTATTGATCAAAACAATGTCTCTGAGCGAAATCGACAAATTCCTAGAATGCTTGAGATATACGATGCAGCCGAAGCTGTTATTAGCTGGGCTGGTGAAGGTGACGAGGCAAGTGACACAGCCATCGACTTCCTAAGCGAACTTCAGAGGCCAGTCTTGCATCTCAATAAAGATGGAAGTTGGGGCCCATATACAGTTAAAGAAGGCGACGAATGGAAAATCACCCCAATCCCTGATCTCCCACGCCGACTTGCTGCTCTTTATTGCTTCTTTTCAAGGCCATATTTCCGGCGAATCTGGGTGGTCCAAGAGCTCGCCGTCGCCAACTTGCCATCTCTATACTGTGGCAAGAAAAGAGCAGCTTGGAGGCAATTGGATATGGCCGCTTACCACCTGATAGCTATTCTAAATGGTGACAGAACTATGCCAGCTAAAATGATGGCCGTAAATCCCACATTAAACTCGATTTCTATCGAGGAAATCTCTTTCATTCGACGGATGTTCTATTTTCGACACCTCCGTTCCAAGAATGCTGATTCTATCTGGGGTCAAACGACTCAAAACGGTGTTAAAGACACTTCACCTGAGATTCTCGACGCTGCGGTTCTGTGTCGCGACTTCCAAAGCACTTCCCCGTATGACAAAGTTTTCTCCCTTTTAAATCTGGCAGAGGACTTCCAAGCAACGGACTTCATCCCTGATTATTCGAAGGGTCTTCCTCAAGCTTATCATGAGTTCGTAGTCGCGGTAGCTTGCAAGACAAAAAGTCTAGATATTATCTGCGCAGCTGAGCCTGTGAAATATTCTAAGTTGGACATGCCATCTTGGTGTCCAGATTGGACCACTCCAACCACGGTCAGCAGCCTCATTCGGCATGACCGCATTCCCGACATCTTCATGTCGGCAGTCACAGATATGTCCGGACCGATCTACAATACTTGCACTTCATCCGCATCAAGCCCACATTTCAACTTTAAAGGGCCAGTCCTCGAGGTAACTGGCATCATTCTCGATACCATCAAAATCGTCCAACAAAGCAGCGAGGACAATTTCATGAAATGGATGACCACAGCAGCTAATGAATGCCAAACAGAGGAAGAGAAGGACTTGCCGGCCACAGAAACCCCTTTCATGACCAAGTTCTGGTCCATGCTAGCAGGCGACTCGACAGGTGTGTGGTCCGTTGAAACCACCCTACGAGAAACATGGCCACCGGGAACTGAGGAGGCGGGAGGAAACCTTCCTTTCCGGCCTATCTGCATTAAAGAAGACATCACCAAACATCGCTTGCAGCACACCTCAACAGGAGTCTTCGACATTGTAACGAGAGGACGTGCTCTGATTATCACGGAGAACGGACTTATGGGTCTGGCACCATATTATGCTAAAGAAGGACAGAAATTAGCGATTCTGAATACATGCAGCGTCCCGGTTTTACTTGAGGAGAATCAGGATAGGACGTATGGGTTTAAGGGCAGTGTTTTTGTGCAGGGGTGGATGCAGGGTGAGATTCTCGAGGAGATGGGGTTAGATAGCGAGGAAGGCTGGCAGGTGCTTGACGAATGCGGGCGACTGAGAATTATTTAGATAATATTTTGAGTAGAAGAGAATCCAAGCACCCTGCCTGAAAAGAAGACTGTCCTATCGCTGAAAGATGACTGTGATTCCTGTGGTGTAGACCTAGCTAGTCTGTGGTGTATAGCGTCGCGACTTCTCCCTCAACGTAATTGTAGGATGTACTCCTAAGATTCAAAATCAAAATCAAAACGAAACATCATGACCAGAATTACAGAAAATGCGCAATTCTGAACTTCTCACAGCAAATAGTGGCATCTACTGGTACGAGGGGGGGCGCCTGCTTTTGTTCCCTCAATTCCGCCTTGACACCGCCACCAGAACTTAGACGCTGCAAGTCAAATACTAGGGTTCAAAAAAAGTCACCAAGAAACAATGTACGAGTTATTAATGGGCGTCAAGAGTGCTAAAGGAGAAAGAAGTAGCCGACTGTTTTCGAAGCTGCTTGTTTCCGGCTACTGGATATAGCAAGAGCGAAATGCCAGAAGCCAGACACTTATAAACGCAATGCTAATGTAACTAGAATTGCAGAAGAACTGACATTCTGTATTCAGAAACAAGACACTGTATTATTAATAATTTGAAAGGTATGGGGGACGTGAGATTTAAACATGGACAAAGATCTTAAAAAAAACATTTTCTTAACTGCGAATAGACTTGGATATACACAGAACGAAGGCAAAACGAAATACCGTGCGCCATGACTTCTCCAGATAGAAAAGATTATGACAATTTTAAGCTTAGGGCGGGAAGTTCTCTTCCGAAAGCCTGGGTAGAGAAAGAACCCCTAAGTGAAGCATGTCAACTAGTGCCTCGTAACTTCCGCATTTAGTCCAAATGACTCCAACGCCCTCAAGTTTTATGAGACGTGCCTGCTTGTTCATAATCCAATGTTGACGATTGCAAAGCAGGGCAGTCACAACTAAAGCAGTAGCAGAGGTATAAGAAGGGACTTTCTCCTCTCTCTTCCACAGAAACGCGACAACTCAACACAACACACAACCAAGAACGACAACGCATCCAGCTTATACCATTGTCAAATGCAAATTTCTCAGTCGTCATCAAACATCCAACCTCCTCAATGTGGCTCAGTTTATTACCACTCGATTCAAGGACCAAATCTGTGTGTGTTCATCATCGCTCACGAGTATGGTTGTTTGTTCCATCAGATCATCTCTCTCAGCTTCCCACTCTGTTCAAAATAACACAGAGTGGCTGATGGAAGTACGTGCAAGCTTGAGATTGTCCCCTCCCCCCACAGCGGTCCGACCTAAGCTGCGGGATTCTCGGGGAACTCTGCCACAACAATACGAACAAAGGTACGTGCAACTTCTCAAATGGCCCCACGCAGTCTGCCAACAGGTCATTCAATACCTGCATGGCTCCTAAAGAGGGCCGGCATCAAAACCCCATCACCCCACAAAACACCGTAAATTTTGGCCGTGATGGGGAACAGAGCACGTACAAGTCATCAGCTTTTAGGCTGATGCAACCAATAACAAATTCTAGGAATTCGAAGCCCCTCCCTCGGAGCTCAGGATATCATCACGGCTCTCTGGAAGCGGTCTCTATTCAAATCCCCACACATTCATCACTTCTCAGACCTCGAGACCCACAATACGAAGATACGCTCCAAAGCTCACGCAAACTGATAAAGAGATCACCATACAACCAGCCCACCACGCGCTCAAACATCTGCAATACCCCACAAAGTCCGGCATACTATGCCCATTCGGCGCAGAAGGGACACATTTGTGCTCATCCCTGTCCCACAACCAACAAACAATATCACAAAGCTCCACGATCTAGCCAAAAACGCAAAGCAAGCAACAGCAGAACGGAATATCTCACCTGATTCGAAAAAGGCATTCAAGCGACGTCTGGCACTGATGCAAGGTATGTCGTCTTCTCTGCTCACTTGGAATTTCAAAGCTAACATCAAACTCTTCAGCACACAGCATACATGAGTCCCACTACCCTGCCCAACATCGTGACATGAACTACGTCTTGGGGAATTGGAGCATCTTTCAACAACAAACATTTCGGACACTCTTTCGGGTGAATTCACTCTGTGATGGGATAATGAGGTTGCGGGATAGTCAGCGTGGAAATCAGAGATGGAGGAAGCATGGCAAAAGAGAGACCAGATGGAGCACGAGGCGATGGAACTTCCCATAGTCGATGAGGACTACTTGCGTGGTGGAACATTGTGAGGATGTTAAGGTGATAAGGCTTGTTTTATGATATGAGCAAGGGTTGGGCGGAATGGAATAATCAAAAGTTTTGAGGTTGGTAAGATTTTTGAAGGGAATTGTGGGATGGAAAGATGTGCTATATAGGTGTTTATGGGGGCTGGACTGGCGCTAAATTAATTCGGTACCAGAAAATAAACCTGAGTCGGAGTTTAATGAAACTAGCTATACTAGGTTCTACCTAGCCTTAGGAGCCACGCTTCTTTTTTCATCCTATGAATGTGATTTTTTATGCACATGTCTTGCATGATCAGGGATAGTTGGTGATCATTCTATATCCTTAAAGACTTCTAATGCAAGTTCCAATAACTTTTTTAATTCTCTTCAGGCGTACAGCCAACTTGCAGTTGAGGAGACATACCTATATATTATAGTATAAGGTGAAATAGAGTAATGAAGGCCTATTAGTATGCAGAATGGAATTAATAACTCTCTCTATTCCTTTCTTACTTTGCTGAAAATAGGAAATCTATAGCTATAGCTAGAATAAAGGAAACAAATAATTTAAGTTACTCTTAATATCTTGACTGAGAGGTAGGGCTAAGCCTAATGCCGACATAAAACACTTTATTTATCCTCTTAATTATAGGCTAAGATGATAGTTTTATAATAAATCTATTAATCCCCGTAGTGTTTTATAGCTGTCCTTATATAAGAAACCTTAGAAACTATTGCAGTTAATGGGACAAGAAGCATAATAATAAAACAGCTTATAAACCATAACAAGTCTTACGTAACACTAGATATATAGGTTCTAGGAAAAGTAAAAGAACAGGTAGTTGTTGGTACTTATAAATACAGCTTCTATCTGAAATCAATTTCATCACAAGACGACTGAAATATTCCAAGCAACATCACAGCAATGTGTCGTACACGCTATGTCAAGTTCACAAACTGCCACCACAAGGATCCTGGTTTGAACAAATCGTTTCACTGTGCGGATCATCCTTGCGGACAATGGGATATGATCAAAGAAGAGGTCCATACCTTCTGCCCGTCGTGTCTGGAACATCCACGCATGCTTCCGAAAGACCCTGAAATTGGAGCAATTACGGCTCTGCAGCTCCGCAGCGCCAACAATGAGCTTGTGTATAGGGCACAGCGAGTATTTGACCTGGCAGCGGAACCAGGAAAGGGATTCCGGACCTTTGATAAAGAAATGAATAACTTCATTCTTTCCAACGGGATCAATGAACCAGTCTATGATGCCTACAATATCCACGAGTTCTCGGGGAGACTTTGTGAATCCGATGAGGTGTTTATGCACTGCATTAATGACACTCTACGAAGCTATATCCAAGGGCCTGATACCCCAGATTTGACAGAGAACCAACATAGGCTGTATTATCAGGTTGTCGCTGCCATTGTCACGTTGTCAATGACTAAGAAGGAGAGTGATTTGCGAGAGGAATTGTCCAGACAGCTCGCCCTCGTGCGACATCTCAACACAATCTTAAGACCAGTACGGTCTCTTCGGGCGGTAGATGAGCTGAATTGTTCGAATTGTCTCGATCCTCTGGATCGGGGCTTTGAAGAACCGGTTAGACTGCCATGCAACCACGTCGTAGGGCGCGGTTGTATCGAGAATTGGATATGTGACTGGAAACCAGGCGAGCCACTCTGCATCTGTCTCCCGTGCCGAGATGATTTCAATCTTTTTACGCCGCTGGAACTCGCAGAAGGTATTCAAGTGACGGGTGAAGACGAAGTTCGTATGATTATCCAGCCGCCAGCCGGTTGGGGGATTAACTTGCTTCGAGCTGCGTGGGCAGGACTTGTGTGAGAAAGTCACACAATGGCACTTGGTAAGCTAGGCTGGTCCCAGATAAGCTGAGTCGTATTATTAATAAAAATCTATTAAATGGCGATAATACAAATTATGTGATAATAAGGTGATAATAAGGCAAGATGATGTTCTTACTAGACTAGTCCATTTCTTTCTTGGAAATGCAAACTCATTTGTGAAATGTGCTAGAGATAAAATAAGTTTAATAATTGATTAGAACCTAGTAATATGAGACGGATCAAAACAGCATCATTGCAGGATTGCCTACGGCTAACATCATAATTTCAGAGACTTGTCAGGTTAAAAACTGCACGGTTTTTATTAGCTGAAAAAGAGGTGTTAGGATATCCGATCCGCTCTAGGATCCTCCCTAACCTTTCTAGTCATGTGATCTAGCTCATATAACCTAGCTTAGTTAGTAAAGAGGCATAACCTCTTTATCTCTATAATACCACCTAAATGCTAAGTATTAATTAACTAGTATTAAGTCTATACTATATAGTAAAGAAGTAATCACATTCTAATATATCACTGCCTATAATACTAATACTAATTAGTAGTTATTCTTATAGAAGATATTATAAAATAGTAAGATTTAGAGAAGAGGTAAAGATATAATATAATAACTAAAGTAGATTAATAAGCGTTAAGTTTTTATACTAGAGAATAGTAATAATAGCTTATAGATCTCTAGTAACTAATTAGTTAATAAGGAGAGAAATAGATAGCACTATCTAATTTCTCTAGTAACTAATTAGTTAATAAGAAGATATTAATACTACTAGTTGCTAGTAATTTAAGAGCTATAGTAATTAATAGGTTAATAAGCAGCCGCGTCTATTATGCAGAATAATAGACTTTATAAGGCACTAGTAACTAATAGGTTAATAAGAACTATCTTATTAAAAAGCTTATTATTATTATAATTAAAATAAATTTTTAGTATACTTTATACTAAAAACACTATAAATTTTAACCTTAAGTTTATATATCTAAAGTCTAAAAATACTTTAAAAATAATAATACTAAATTTAACAAGTAGACGGCAAACTAGCTGCTGTTTTCAGCAGGTTTAGTCGCTGTTTTTTGCAGCCGACTTGCTAAAATCTCGCGCTGCTCTAACGCTCGCGTACCTAGCAGCTAAGGCGGCACGACCTAACAGGGCCCCAGCCGCCAGGTACGTGCAGAAACACTAAAAAAGAGCGAGGTCAAATTCGATAATCGGTTCTATGATTCTCGTTCTTATTTACTGGGAGCTTGTTAGGGAGCAGAAATGGCTGCCCTCCATCCCCTCGTGACTCAGGATGGCAGTTCTTATATTTATTCGTCCATCTTCCCTCCTTCTCCATCTTCCCTCCTCCATCTTCCCTCCTCCATCTTCCCTCCTCCATCTTCCCTCCTCCATCTTCCCTCCTCCATCTTCTTTCTAAACCATTTATACTTAACCACCTCTCGTTCCATTTCTCTCCACTCCCATCTGATACGATTCCTGGAGTAACAGGTTCCTCCTAATATTTTCTATTTCCTCTTCTGAATTGATCGTCATCGCCATCGCCGTCGTCATTTCCTTCGGCAGATCAAGCCAATATGCGGTGTCGCCAACCAACACCAAGCTCTTCCGACGACAGCGATGGGTCTGACATCGAGAGCTGCTTCGATGCAGATAAGCAAGAGGAGACCGACGCCGATACCGAGCCAACGGACGTTGATACCGATGTCGACGGAGACGACAAGGTAGATCTGCCAGATCTCGAGTCGATAGACATTGATACCGATATCGACGGGTGTGACGAGACGGATCTAGCGTGGATTACTAGAGAGGACAATACCTACCCGCCAGAGTACTACCTCGATTAAGAGAATAACTCTAACGAATCTAAGGATAAAGGTAAGGATTATAGTAATAGCAGTGTCCTCCTCCTTAATAGGATTAAGGTGCAATTCTATTAGTATATACTTTTACATCTGCCGTCTCTTGCTTATTTGCTAACTGACTTTCTTTAGAGGTACTATAAATATGTATAAAAGGATCCTGCCTAAATAATATAGGCTATCTCTTGCTATACTCTAAAAGCCTTCTTTAAGTGGATATTAAATTAGTGTTAAGGTAAAAGTTAGAGGCAGCTTATAGGTATTAAGTTAGCTAGCACTCTTAGGATATATTAGAAAGTCTTCTAGCTTATCTATAAGCAGGCGATAGGTAAGAAAATCCTAAGTAAAATAAACCGCTATATATATCAAGTAAGTAGTGTTACCTATTAGCCTGCTAAATCTTATCTGAATTACTTTAGAGTAGAAGCTAATTAAACGCTTATATCTTTTTTAAGTCTTAAGAAAACTAGTAAAGAAGCACTACCTAATAATAGAGAAGTGTAAGAAGATAGCAATATATATTAAAGATCTTATAAGTATTCTTTAAACTAACTTAATTATAATAAAGAAGAAATATATATATAGCTGGCACTATATCTAACTTACTCTCTTTTACTACTTAGCTGCCTTCTCTAGGAACCGACCTTTAGTAGTATTAAACCTCTACTACTATTATATTATTATAACTCTACTTTAAGATCCTAATAGTAGACTCTATTAGATTCTAATTAAATTTACATACGAATTTATAAATAGTATCTTGGCATAAAAGATATATAAGTTACTTGTAACTCTTATTTTCCTTTATCTTTTTAGGTTCTACTATACGACGCGTTAGCTTATAGAGAAGCTAGGAATACGTTTCTACTTCCTAAGATTATCTTTAATCTGTCTCTAGTTCTTAGTTCGCATATTACTCTACTTAGTCTCCTTTTTACTAATAAAGCATTTCTAGCTCTAAATCTTATATCTGCTAAGAAAATCAGCGGATTAGATATCCGGCCTAGCTATAAGCAATTGCCCTTATATCTAAAGCTAGAGATAGCTAATATCCTAGTCTTCTGCAAGTCTATTAATATGTTATATAAGTAAGAGATCTTGCTAGACTAGTAGTTGCTATACTTTACTCTCTTACTATAGATAAAGAAACTTGGTATGCTTATAGGGTTCCTATAGATTATATGCCTATATAGTCTCTAATATAATATAAGCAATGCATTTAACTAGAGTGGTTTATTTCTTATACCCTTTAGCATCCCTCTTCTGCTATAGAGACCTGCTAACTATAGATAGCTAAGTGATATAAGCGATGTGCTCTAGAATGTTACAGGTGAGTCATGTATATATAGAGGCTCAATATAGTATTTAACAAGTTTGATAAAAGAGAGAGAAGAATCTTTATCTAGATCTAAAGAAAAGTAAGCGCTCTCTAGTTAAGGCTTAGTAAGCTAAGCATAGATATAGCCTATGCTTTACTTCTAGAGCTTGCCTCTTATATTACTCTCCTCTCTTTACTTATTTGCAAGTAGCAAATAATCTATTAGAAACTATATAATATAGTAGAAACTATAGTAGCAAATAATCTAAATCCACGGATATTATATTACTATTCTTCTTATAAACTACTTAGGCTCCACTAGATTTTAGATATAGTCTATCTACTTAGTAAAGCCCTCTAGTTCTTATTCTTGCTATTACTTCTATTTAGTTATACTATTTACTCTTATAGTATTATAAATCTGTAAATAATAGAGTAAATAGCTATTTACTCTATAGTATTATAAATCTGTAAATAATAAAGTAAATAGTTAATAACAAGCAACTATAAGATCTCTCTTTCTACTTATTTTTAAACTCTTCTTTTATATTACTAATACTACTACTACTAAAGTAAGTATAGTATACTATATAGAGCACTTAAGTGCTTAAGATCCCTTCTACTCTTTTTCTATAGACTCTATATAATACTAATTAGAGTTAGATATTCTTAATTATCTACTATATTAGCTGCGCTCTTATAGAAGTTAACTATATTAACTAAAATATAAGTCGGCTTCTAATCGATTTCTATTAGGCTCTACTAAGTCTATATAGTCTAACTAATCTTATTTCTATGCTAAGTGCGCCTGCAAGTGTAAAAACTATAAGAACCTATATATATTTTATTGCAATATGGCATCTTGGTAGGACTCGTCACGTGAGTCACGTGAGGGACTGCTTAGTCATCACAAATATGTAAATTAGTATTGGTCACTTAGTAAAAACCACTTTATATAATAGCTTTTAAAAGATAATATCTTAAATAAGAATAATATAATAATAAAGCTTTTAGCTACTACTTTATTTTATTTATTTAATTATATATAGCTTCTATCTCTTAATACTATCTACTTCTAATAAGTTATAAGCCTAGCTTATACTATAAAGAGATACTCTTATTAAAATCTAGTAAGAGCAGCTAGTTATAAAGTATTAAGCCTTTATATTACTAAAATCTAATAAGAGCAGCTAGTTATAAAATATTAAAAACTCTATATTATGCCTAGATCTTAAGGCAGCTATAAAGGCATTTTGCTTATCTAAGATTACTATCTTAAGATAGGTATTTATAGGTTATAAATAAGATATTAGGTAGAAATCCAGCCAGCTAATTATTTTATAGCTTTATATAAATTATTAACTTTTAATAAAAGAATAGTAGCTTATATTCTACTAGGTCTAGCGTTATAGATAGAGTAATATTCTTTACTTAAGAATCTAACTCTTTATTTAAGAGAATAATAATTAATTAAAGTTATTTATAGTAAATAGTATTATATTTTACTAGTTAAAAAAGCACTATAATATAATAGAAAGAGGATCTAGAAGGGATTATATAAAACCCTCTAATATTAAAGTTAGAGGTTATTTAAGTAGTAAGCAACTATACTCTACTTTAGCTAAATTAGTTAAAATAGTTAAATTAGTTACTAGAGATATCTAAGATAAATAGTCTCT